GCTCCCCGCTCTGGCTCTGGTGAATTCTCTCACCCTTCCGTGCTTCTGACTGTACCCAGTGCTTGTATAAATAAAAAAATAAATCTTTAAAAAAAAATTAGTGAATACCGACCAAAAGAAATGTACAAGGGTGTTCATGGTATCTTTGTCCATAACAGCACCCAATTGTGAACAATTTGAATATGCACCCAGCGTGCAGGATTATTCAATCTATACAGTGAGAATGCTGTGGATTCCACATATTACTGTATATATGTTAGACTTTTATTAAAGACCAAGCAACCGCCCATTCCACAGGCAGATGGGTTTCTGCCCTGAATTCTGAGGAACATTTATAAGCATACAATTTTAAAAAGAAAATATATCTTTGTCCAAGTGATAAATTTGTTTCAACTACAAATTAATGATATATTAATAATCCCTATTTAAAAAAATTCTTTATTATAGTACCATTGATTTACATTGTTGTCAGTATCTTGGGCGGACAGGATCTACCCTTGAGGTGATCTCTCCCTTCAGGCAGTCTCCATAGCACACCCACCACAATGTACCTAGAGTCCACTGTACACAGCATGAGAGGAGGTATTTGCTGCGTATAGATCTATAGGGAACCACAACCAGAACGGACTCTGCAAATCTACCTGAAGATGACATGCGAGACAAGGATGCAAAGACTTACTAGTTTGTACTTTTCAATCTCCTTCCAGTTACTGACACTAGATATACTTTAAAGATATACTTCTTTATAACATACTTCTTTACAATTTAAAGATATACTTCTATCTTTAAATTGCTTTGTAGCTCAGTAGTAATTCACAAATATGCTTTCCTTATATAAAAAAAAAAAAAAATCACACATTCCAGATAATGCAAAAGCCCCTGTGGACCTGAAATCCTGGTTGCCTCCCTAATACCTAGAGAAGATAATGGAACAATTTGGAATGCTTTGTCCTAGGTTTTTTTTTCAATGCTGTGCAATTTTGTGGGCTGTATTTTTTTAAGATTTATTTATTTATATAAGAATTGAGGTACAGGTCAGAGGTGTGGGAGGGTGAGAGAATTCACCAGAGACAGAGTGGGGAGCAGACCAGGCAGACGGATTGAAGACACTGCTGAGGGGAGCAGCGGGAGAGACAGGAGAGGTCTGCCGCACCATGTGGGTCTCTCCCTGGCTGGTCGGGAATCAAACCCGCGCTGCAGAGACTGCGGACAGCCTCACAGCACAGCGCTCAACTGTCTGCGCCACTGGGGAGGCCCATTGTGGGCTGTATTTTTTACTGACTTACATTTCTGGTGTCATAACCTGTGTTGTGTCTTGGGACCTGCTTTTTTCTATCCAACATTATGTCTTTCATCATTTTCTATGCTGGTATCATACAAAACCATTTTATTCATATTTTTTATTTAGCTAGTCAAATTGTATTGATTTGCCATGGGTTTATAGAACCATAGAAGGTTGGGAGTACAGCTTCACACCTCAACACGGGCACATTTTCCCTCACGCTCCACCAGAGCTCCAGGCCCAAAGCCTATCACCTGCCCTCTCCATCCCCTCCTCCCTGCTGTGTGTAACCACACTCTTTTTCACTTGTACAAAGTTACTTCAGCACCTTCATTGTTGTAACTGCTTCAGAGTCCTCCATGTGGAGACCCCACAGGCTCAACAGCCCTTCCTGTATGGGGTGACTAGGGCTCCCTCCTCCCTCATTTGTTTGCTGTTAGTCCCTCTCTCTAGAGAGAACTATCCATATGACTTTAGTTTTTCAAATCCAGCTTTGTCAACTCAGAGGCTCCAGAAAGTTCCTGCCTCACTCTAATCTGAAAAAGCACTGCCTTCACTGCTGGGGGAGTCCCTCAGATGGCAAGTAGAGCAGAGTGCACTTTGTGGGAGCCCTGATCCTGGCTGTGTCCTTTTCAACACCTCCCTGCTCCCCACCCCCCAGGACTGGGGTCAGTTCTGGCACCCTTGCCTTCCCCACTTCTGGTGCAGGTGTGCTGTGTGACCTCAGGTGACTGATCCCCCTCCCTGATTCCCCACTTCGTCACTTATGAATGAAGGGATAGGGACCACCACACTGTTGGGGGCTCTCTCAGTTCTCAAGGTGGGGGCCCAGCTGCCCTTAGTGACATATGAGAGGGACTCCGCAGGGGTCCCAAGGAAAATGTTTCCTTGGAGCCCCATCAATGGTGTGTCTCTTGGGGTGTGCACCGGGGAGGTATAATTAGTTCTCTCAGGAAAGGTGGTGTTAACAGGACACAGTGCCCTCACCCAGCCCACTCCTCCTGGGGTTCCTGGGCTCAGGTTTTCCATAGGCAGGAGTGGTTTCTTTACTCTCTCAGCCCAGCTTCTGAAGGCAGTTGCCATAGCAACCCAGGGCTGGTGAACCACGTAAAGCCTGTGACCGTAGAGTCCCTTTTAAAGGGGACAGGGAGGCAGTTACTCCTCCCCCAGGAAGAGCAACCCCATGCACTGCAGGCTCATGGGTGCCAAGTGTCTGGAGATACAGATGTCCAAGCGCTGGCTGCCAGGACGGGAGGACGGGCTGAGCCGGGCCACGCAGACACCAGAGCTAAGAACCCTCGGGGCTCCCATCCTGAGCTCTTGTTATCATGGCTTCCTCTGCATCGTTCTCTACCTTTGTTTCATCTCCTTCCTGACTCTCCCTTTTCTCTGCCCCTCCGCGTAGCCCCTGTCTCCAAGGTGCTGGGCGTGGGGAGGGGGAGACGGCTGCATGGAGACTCCTGGCTTATGCACCTTCTTCTGCAGCCTCAAGGGCCTCCACACCAAGGTCACAGGCTTGCACCCCTGCCTTCTCCAGTGCACCTGCCTTGGCCCCTGACCTCTCCAGGCTGCTCATGGCGGGGAAGGAGTGCGGGGGCAGGGAGGGGGAATACGACTTTCATTTCTTACAGACGTACAGCTCCATCCTCTCGCAGAATAGCATACCCTCCCTCACCCAGCCCTCACCTCGAGCCTGATTATCCCTCCTCAGCAGGCACCGGCCTCCAGGTTCTGCTCTGCTTTAGTCCTCCTCCAGGTCTCCCTCTCTGAATACAATACTCACACATTCTCCCCCTTATTCATGGACTTTTACCCACCATCTAGAACATGCCTGGCAGCGAGTGGGTTCCCAGGACCCTCCTGTCCACAGGAGAAGGATGGAGAACGCAGGGGTGGATGTAGAAAGGTCTTTCCGTCGCACCGGGGATCCAGCCCAGAGCAAACCCCTTGTTCCCTGGACTTGCCCCACCCGTGGATGCTCCAGTGCAGACACGCAGGGCAGCTGGGAGAGTGTGAAGGGGCAAGAGCCCTCTTGTGAACCAGCCCTGAGGGCTGGCGAAGGCTGCGCCACAGACAGGTTCTCAGAACCTGCTACTTTAGGTGAAAAGACTTTAAATGAAACCACTTCATCCTAGGCTAGTTGATACAAATGAGTTTCCTAAGGCTTATTTTTGGCCACAAAACCAGCACCCAACTTCAAAATAAAGACCCCAAACTCCTCTAGTATGCAGTAGTCATTTGTATTCATTCATTCATTCTTTTGCCCACTTATTCCAATTCAGGGGTGGGGGTGGCGGGAGCCCATCCCAGCAGCTCAGGGTCAAGGCGGGGCTCATCCTGGGCAGGACGCCACCCATGGCACAAGCATCACACACGTGCGACAGTAGCAGAATACAAGCCTCTGCCTGCCCTGGAGAGGCACTCCCTCCCCCTCTATGTTTAACAAACCTTGATATATATTTAGCTAACATCTTGCTTTCTCCTGGCATTCTAATGATAAAGGGCTTTCTGCAAATAAACCTCAGAACAGAGCCAAGAACATAACCCTGCAAAGACAACATCAGAATTGCTGGCCAGCAGATGGTGACGAAAACAACTGATGTCACCCGAGCCACCAGACACTTGTGTTACAAGGACGGGTGAGTCGACCTTCACTCACACCCCCTTTTTCCTGTTCCTGTAACCCTCCCTAGTTACACACCCTGACATTCTTCTAGTGAGCAGGGCGGTAGTCTTTCAGACTCTAGTCTGCTAGCTTCCTCGTTTGTTGACAAATAAACAAAACTACCTTCCTTCTCCTCAAAATTTCTTATTGGCAACGGGGAACCAAGACTGGCAGTTCTGGTATCTCACACAGACACACACACAGACACACACACACACACACACTTTCAAAGGGGGACATTGGACATGGCAATGAGCCTCCCATACACAGCCTTGGGATGTGGGGGACACCCAGGCAGACATGGGGAGAACATGTCCACTTGACACAGATCGGGATGGATTGTTTTTTCTTGTAAACATATGACCTGCTGACTGGCTGTATAGATGAATGGTCGGGTGGGAGAGGGTGTGTGCTGTGTGATCCCAGAGGTAGAATATGGAGAGGGCCCGTAGTCCATCAGGATTACTGCCACCAATTTGGTTCTCACCACCAGGCTAACAGGTATCATATCCTTTCAGGCTTTGAATGACCCTGCAGGTGGAGTTGCTGTCTCCTCACAACAATCTGACACCAGATGCGCCTCCTCAGCCTGGGCCCTTCTTAGATTCTTACTGGACAGATTCCTGGTCACCTCCTCCAGGAAGGCCTCCCTCACCCCCAGACCACACCAGGTTCTGCTCCCTTGGAACACTGACTGTCAACACACGCAGTTCTGTGTGGGTCTCCCCCTGCTGACCAAGATGAGGGCGGGGTCTGCTGACCCCACCTACCGACCCCATCATGGTGCCTGACCATGCAGCCAGGAGTGATTTTTGCTTACTAATAGTTGGACAAAAGAGACTCAATGGATTGCTAGATCTTGCCACGTGCAGGTGGAGCTGGAAGGGTCTGGGTCTAACCCCCAGGCCCTCCTCCTGTGTTAGAACCATCAACACTGTCCCAACTGGGGGCAGAGATGCAGGCTGAGGCCTGCCCTGCCTGGTCAGGACTGTGAGGATGCTTGAGGGGCTACTGGTACCATTAGTGAGCCCATCCCTCGGGCTCAGGCCTTACCAGAGCTTGCTCGATGAGGAGGCAGAAGAGGATGGCGTTGCCTACTTCCCTCAGGCTCTGGAACACATCTGTCTTGAGCTCAGCGTATTCAATGATGTCCTTCAGCTGGTGGTGGAAGAACTCCAGTATCCCTGGGGGTGAGGGAAGGTGAATTGCCTTAGGGGAGTGCTGGGGCTCAAGTTCTGACTGGTGCAGCAAAACCCACAGCCCGCCTCCCTCTAGGTGTGTCCTGGGGTGAGATCTCTTTCGGGGTTTAGTCCTAGAGAGAGCTCAGGGGACTGAGTGAAATCTTACTTGCAACCAAACAAATACACAGAGCCCTGGGCCCTACCAGTCCCTCCAAGAAGTCACCTGAATTCCTAATAAAGACAGGAATGAGCAGGTACTTGCAGGTGGTAGCTGTGGTGCTAAGCACTTTATCTGCAATAGCTCATTAAGCATTCAAAACCAATGCACCATTACTCCGTCTTCAGACAGGCTCAGAGAGGTGAAGCAGCATGCCCAGAGTCACACAGCTGGGAAGGAGCATAGCTGGGACTAAAGCTTTTGGCTACCTCTTCCTGTTCTGAATCATACCCTCCCAGCATCTGACATCTTGCTTTTTAAGGGAAATAAAAACCCGAAACAAAAAACCCAGGGGCCAAACAGACTATCTCCATCTTTCTCTATTTTCCAGGCCCCCAGGCTCAACTCTTATCAGGGAAGGAAAGAACTATTTCTCTGCCCAGGGTTCCTTGCCTCTCATGGAGACACGACTGCTCAGAGGGGTTAAAGATGGTGCAGAGCTCTCTAGCTGGGGCAGAGAAGGCCCACCCACACCCCGCCTGCTTGCTGGCATGTAGAGGACCACCACCCCAAGGCAGATAACCAAAGCCCCTGCCCTGGGACTGGATTTGGATCACTTCCTATCACCACCCCCGTCCCTGGTTCCCCACCACCAACCTGGGGAGCCATACTCGTGCCGGGGTAAGCGGCATATCTTGGGCATCACCTCAATCAGAGTTTTCACATACTGGAGGATGGTTCCTTGCAGCTGATAAAAAAAAGTTAACAAGGAGAGTGAATAACCCATCACTATCGGGGGCATCTGCAGGCTGCTAGGATATGTGGGGGTTGTGCTGAGGTCTGTGGGAAAGTCTTGTGGCATGAATATTGTGTCCCTACCCCTCAGGTTCATGGGGTGAAACTTAAGCCCCAATGTGGTATTGTTTTGGAGGTAGAGCTTTTGGGAGGTGATTAGGTCCCAAGGATGGATGGAGCCTTCAAGATGGCATCAGCATCCTTAGGAAAAAGACCCACAGAGATAATCAGCCATATGATAATATGAAGACATGCAAGAAGGCTGTGAACCAGGAGTTAGGGGGTAGGGTGGTCTCACCTATGACTCCCAGCCTCCAGAAATCTAAGGCATTCACACTGCTGTCTAAGCCACCCTGTCTTCAGTGCATATGTCAGGGCTGCCTGAGCAAAGTCAGTAAGGCCTCGTTCCCCAAGAAGCAGCTGCAAGTTCTCCCTAAAGTCTGGGACTGTCCTATCACCCTTCATAAGCGAAACTGACCCTCTTAATGCAGGAAAGGGAGCTCCCTTCTTATAGCCTCAGGGCTTATAGCCTCAGGGAGGGCCCAGGAATCCTCCTGGATTTGGGGGCTTACAGGAGATCCAGATTAGAGCAAGACGCAATGGGACAGGGAGTGGTGGAGGCTGAGACAGATTGTCTAACATAAGCCTGGAAAATATATGGCACACTGTCCCCTGTGTGTCCAAGGCAGACATCTTTAACTGATGACCACATCCTCCTGTTTAACTCTGAACTTAGCTTCACATCTGTAACAACCTCTGGCCTCACACAGCTGCTCCAGAGGACTGGGCTTAGCAGGTGAATCCTGCTATCCCAGATATGGTTATACATTGCTTAATTTCTCTTTTGTCATCCCAGATTTTCAGGAAGATCTCATTTCTGCCTTGCTTCACGAGTGCCTCAGGGAATTAAGTGAAGTGTAAGAGGACTGTATTTGGGGCAGATGGAGAATGGTGGTAAAGGGACACAGAATTCCCTCGAGTCAAGTGCAGTGCTGGTGGTAGCAGCTAGCAGGAGATCCCAAGGGGAAGAAGTGTGGTTAGCCATGTGTGCCGATGGCAGGGGACAGGCAAGGGCAGGAGAGGGGTCATGAATTTGCCAAGTTCACTCTGGATAACACGGAGGGGGGAGTATGAGCAGACTTTAGGAGGCCCCAAAGTTAGTTAAAATCTGGATGCTGAATTCAATGATCAGAAAATGAGAGGCAAAGTCACAGGTCAGAGGAGGCGCAGAAACGTAACAGCCATAGATCAGAGGAACCAAGAGACAAGGACAAAGGATTCCCTGGAGGGCAAAGGATTCCTATTGATGGCAACTTGATTTTCCAGGCCAGATAAAGGTGAGAGAGATTTTGTTCCCATCAACCCCGCCAGCCACGTGAAAAGCTCCGGGTCCTTACCAGGCTCTTGACAATCTTCAGCAGCTCCTCCATTACCACGGCAATGCCCTGGTACCCCAGGAGTCTGCAGATGGTCTTAAAATGAGGGGGCCCCACGAAGTTCCTGTAGGAGCTGTAGATGTGGCTGTAGGCGATGTTGAGAGGCTGCAAGACAGTTGTGGCCACGTTAGTGGTGAAGAAAGGCTTGGATGCCAGCCTGGGTCCTGCAGGAGAAACTCCTTGTGGAGAAGGGATGGAAACCTGCCATGATCTGGGCTCTACCTGGGGAGACTCCCGTTAATGTTTGCAAGATGCTGGTGGTGGAGAGAGGCAGGGTCAGTGCCCACTGTGTGGAGCAAAGCTCGCTAGTGGAGGAGGACACAGAGGTTTCTGGTCAATGTCTTTGTATAGAGACTCCTACCATCTGACTGTCCACACACAGACTCTACCAAACGGAGCCACAGGGTGGGAAAAACAGACAATCCACTTTTTCCAGAGGCATTTTTGGTACTAAGAACCGGCTGGAAGAACCATGTAAGACCCCAATGGCTGATTCAGCGTCATCATCCTTCAACTGGGTGTCAAAGTCTGTCCCCATCTGTAACCACCTGGGGTCTGGGGAACTAACAGGCCCGCAGGTCAGAGGCTTCTGCTGAGCACATTGAAAGTCCTTTAAGATTTTTGCAACTCAGCATCTATGAGATGAGAGGGATGACAGATGCCTGCCTTTTCAAGTAACATTGAAAGAGATGATAGCAATGAGTGTGTGGGAGACACTGGCAGAGCCTGGTCACTGACTGGCCACCTCCATTGTCCCCTGGGACCCACGAGATGCTATCACTGAATTAGTGGGATCTCTCTAAGATCTCTGCCTGAGAATGTAGGACCAAGATGTAGGGTTCTTCATCAGTCTTGCATAGTTGATGAGGCTGGCAAGTTATCGCTGCTTTGCCTCATAAGGCTGCCAGTATTGGGTGCCCCATGTCAGGCTTCCTGATGCCCTCTGTTAATCCACACACCACGCCTATGTAATATAGACATTCTGAGGCTCTTGTTTCCCAGACAAGGCTGGTAAGTAGTTTGTTCAAGGTCATAGCTGGCAGATGACTGAGTGCTGATGTGAACCCCACTAAGTCTCATTCTGGAGCCTCTGCTCTTTACCTCTCCTTAAGATGGTGGGCTTTGGAACCAGACCCAGGGTGTTAGATAAGGTTTCACTCTCAAACTTAGTTCTGCGTCATTTTCCTACCTAGAACTGTGCAAATCTTGTACACAAAGCAAGCAAACATGGGGAGACCATGCCTGATATTTTTATTAGCAGGAATTCTCTACTGGTCAGCTAAACAGAAATCCTCCACGAATTGAACAGGAACCGCGATGGTGCTTCTGGAGGACTGCAAGAATCTCATCTCCCTTCGGAGCCATGGAGGGAAGATTTAATTATGTTTTGCCTTAAGTATGTTTTCCTATACACGATGATTTGAAACTTCACTGAATAAGTGTCGCAATTTTAGCATCCTCTCATTAGAAGGATACAGGAGGAGCACAATTAGGGTGCTGCTCACTGCGAGGATTCGTGAGGAATCAAACGCCCACTCGTTCATTCAGCGGGTTGAGTAACAGCTGTGTGGGGAGTCTGTGCCACAGACGGGAGACCTGGGGCTGAGGGGCAAGTTCTGCTCTCCACTCTCTATGCTGACGTGCTGTGGCTGTGAACTCTGCCTGAGCTGGGGGGAGGGTGTCTTTTATGTATATATCAATAGTTACTAGAGATGTCTATGTGTGGGGGGTGGCAATGGCTTGGGTAGGGTGGGAAATATAATTGATTTAGAAGTCGATGTTCAGGAAATCCTAAAAGTGTATGAATGGAGTTTGATTTAGGCAACTATGGGGTCAGACCTTATGCTTGTCCATGTGTGGAACAAACCATTTTAGTGTCTCTGGAACAGGCCACACTATCACTCGGGGCTGGAGTTGGGTGAGTAGTGAGGTGCCCCAGGCACTAATGCCAGGAGGTGCTGGCTCTAGTGGCACATCTCATTCTGGTCTGTACTATCCTGTTCCTTCTCCAGGGGTGAGGAGTATGCAGCAAACACCGCAGACAGCATAGCTGACCACTGGTGGGGGAGGCAGATGTCCCATTGAGGGGCAGGAGGCCTGTGATGGGCTGTTGACATCTGTTGAGACTAAATGTATGAAACAATATCATATATGATTATGCATGTAATGGGATGGTTGTGTCCTTCCTCAGGGGCTTCTCATACCAAATTCCCCAAGACCTTTCTCAGAGAGCGCGACTAGGAACTTATTCAGGTAGAACTGGCCAGGAGCCCTCCCCAGTTCCAGTAGAGGAGGAGAATAATTCTGGAATTGCCTCACCGCACACAAGGCCCTAAAGGCCCCATCCCCACCCCCCTCACAGACCCACGCAGTGCACACCGGAGGCCTCTTATTGACCATCCTACACTGTCTTGGATTCTGGTCCTGACCAGATGCTGGGCCTGGGTTGCTGGTTCAAGCTCAAGAAAGACCAGCAGGAAATGAGCAGAATCCAATGCCCCTGCTAAGTGAAGAAACTCCCCCTGCCCCCCATACACCACACCCATGCAAGAGGACACGCACACGCATGCTGGGGAGTTCATGCACACACATCCCCGGAGGGCACCCATCTGACCTGCTGGCTCAATAGGAGGCTGGGCCCTACTGAGAAAAGGTGGGAATATGGGAGCCTGGGCATTTTCTGAAGTTTGGCAAAGAAAAACAGGAATGCAACATGACTTGAGACCTAGGAAACTCACTACAAATCTCTACAAAACTTGTTAGCAGCCAATCCCGCTAACTGACCCTGGTTACAACCAGTGCCTGCCTTAGAGTCTACAGCTGACCTTGAACAACACGGGTGTGAACCCCTGTGAGTCCACTCATACATGCATGTAAACAGACAGATACGCTTATGGTTTGGTCAATATGGTCCATTACAATAAGTGTATTTTCCCTCATGCATGATAGTCTCAACTATTTTCTCTATTTTAATTTATTGTAAGAACCCAGTATATAATACATAGAACACACAAAATGGGTGCTAACTGACTGTTTATGTTATCAGTAAAGTTTCTAATCAACTTCAGGTTACTGGTAGTTAAGATTTGGGGGAGTCAAAAGTTAAATTCAGATTTTGACCTCTTAGGCATTGGCACCCCAGGTTGTTCAAGGGTTAACTGTAATTATGAGTCCTGTTTAGGATGACTCATTTAGAGTCAAGCTTGTTTCAATCCAAACCGCACGAACTTTAGGAGACCTCAACAGAAACAATCCTGATGCAGGAATTAGAGCTGCATTACCACTGGCTGACACAGATGTATGCATGTTTTTTTTAAAAATCAAAACAGTATTTTAAGGAGGGAGAAAACATAATGAGTTAGAGCTGATAGCTCCTGGGCACTTCAATATGATCTGTATAAGGACTTTTTCAGAAAAATTGTGACAAAATGTGCAGAACATGAGTTACCATATTAAACATTCAGTATTGTGTATGGACTTTTTAGTCATAAGATGTCTCCCTCTTCCTCTCTCTCTTTTACCAGATGGTAAACATGACTAGTCACTCTAAACAATGAGGCCTATTTATTTGGCAAACTGAATTTGCAAGCAATTTGCCTCTCTGCTTTCTGGAATCACAATCGCTGTTTTCAAAGACCCCAAGAGGAATTAAAACGGCTTCTAATTTCCTGTTTAGTTACAATTTCTCTAATGTTCCTCGAGCAATGTGAATATCATCAGCTTAGGAACACAGACAACAGCTCTGATTCAGGTCACAGAGCTACGGCTCCTCTCCCTCTGCGCGATCACTGCAGGTAAATGAAGAAAACAGCAACCCATCCTTGTTGGGAGTGATCACAGGCGAAGATGGTTTCCAGGACTGAGAAATCCTGAGCTGCAGGTTCAAATCCATCACTAATGTACCTGTCTATCTGTCCTTTCTTGAGGCTTGGTAAGCTGGAGGGCTGGGTCCCCAACATTCGGTGCCTTCTTGGTTTTCTCCACTCAGAGACAAAAAGGCCCAGGGAGGTGCCTTGGTGACCTGAAGACATGATGTTCCTCTATTTTTTTTTTTTTTCAGTTTTATGCATAAAGTCCTTTGGAGAAGGCAAGAAGAAGCGCAGGAAGCAACCCTCCCATATGTAGGTATCATGTCAACACAATCACACGTAAAGATGCCATCATTTTTGGTAGAAACCAACACCATCACTTTTTAAATAACCTGTCCCCATGCGATGAGACACAAGTGTCCAGAGCTTCTGTTTATGAATGTTTCCACACAACCATGCCTTGCTAGCTGCCCAGGTGTATTAGTTTTCTGTGGCTACTGTGATGAATTGCATAAACCTGGTGGTTGAAAACAGACATTTATTCTCTTGTAGTTCTGGAGGCCAGCATCCAAAATGAGGACTACGGGGCTGAAACCAAGGTCACAGCAGAGCTACACTCCCTCCAGAGGCCCTGGGGGAGAACCGATCCCTGACCACTTCTGGCTGCTGGGAGATGCCCACATCCTGCTTGGTTCCACACTTCAGGTCTCTGTGGAGGTCTGGTGTTCTTCTCTGGATGTGTGAGATCCCCCTCTCCTAAGAACTCTTGAGATGGCAGCCAGGATCCTGGGATGGTCCTCCTGTCTCATGATCCTTTACTTCATCCAGTCTGCAATGTTCTTTTTTCCAAATCAAGTAACATTTCCAGGTTGCAGGTATAGAACCTACTATCTTTGCAGCCTTATCAGCTACTGCACCAGGTGAGACAGGAATAGCTCCCCATTTAGCAGAGGGGGAAGCTAAAGGCCAGAGAAGCAAAGTTACTTGCCTTAGGAGACATATATCGGGTGATGTTCTGTCATATGCACCAAGTGCTAAAATAACAAAATTACCCTGGCTGGGCGGATAAATTATGCTGTGTACCTGGGAGTGGGGCCACACAGACATGGACACTGGGGTGAGAGCAGCAAGTTGGGGGGTGCGGCTGATGGTGTCATCAGTGGGATTGAGGCAGACCCCTATGGTCAGGATGTGCAAGCCCCAATGTGGACCCCACTGAAATGGATCCAGCCTGCCAGCAAACACTGGGTCCCCGGTGGTAAGGGCTATGACTATGGGGTAGAGATGATGAATACAATATGGTGAATTTGAGCTCAAACTGTGACTTGGACAGGGACATCATTAGCTAGAGATGACCATGCCAAACAACAGAGCACACCCACAAATTCTAAAGGATGAAAAAATTATTAGAAATTATTGGTAGAGTTTAAGGAATGATTTGTGCCATGATCCATGATCTATGTCACTTGTATGATAAGCACTATCAAATCCACTTAGAGAAAATATTTTTAAGTTTTGATTCATATACTAATTTCAGTTACTGGACTAAATTGTTAAAGGTTTTTAACATTTACTGTCTTCTCTGACCCTAAATGACAGAGCTCTGAGGCAGGGGCACTTGGACTCCAGAGCAAGGGACTTCCTAAGGGAAAACCTTTGCTGACCACATTTGTCCAGATGGATCTAGAGTGTGCCCTGGGAGAGCCACAGAGCACGTGTCTAATCAGCGACCATGGGTCTAAGGCTGAGACTCCACGCCTCCCAGACACCTTGGCTAGGAGGGGTGGGTGATGGTCAGACAACTCTTCTTGATTACCACTGATGGGAATCCCAAAGACATTTCCATGGGTCAACCTGGATCTTTTGGCCAAGAACCAAGAAGAAAAAAAGCTGACATTAAAAAAAACAATAACAACATCTAACGTGTGTAAAATAATGCAGTCTAAATTCATGAGTTAGGGCCACTGTGACAAATTACCACAAACTTGGTAGCTTAAGATGACAGACTTGATTCTCTATTTCAGACACGTCCTGTGAGCGCCCCAGTAGAACTGCAGTGATGTAGTCTTACAAGGTTGAGGGAAACAGAAAGGATGGATCTCAGAGGCATATATACTTTTGTAGGAATGAAAAAAGGCAAGGCAGCAAAGCCAGGATTCTTGAAAGGAAAGGAATATTGGGGACCATCCAGTCCAAGAACAGCTATTTCCATTCCCAGTGTCAACTCCAGTGAGTTGATCTGTTAGTAGTTTTCTGGGATGGTTGTGTTGAGAAGGACTTGGAGGTGGTTTCTGAGCTGAGCAGGAAAGAGAGCTGCACTAGTTTCATAGGGTTGCTGTAATAAATTAATCAGGTGTGACTTAACAATGGGTATGTGCTGAGAGATGTGTCATTAGGCGATTTCACTGCTGTGTGACGGTCGTAGAGTGTCAACACGCAGGCCTGGATGGTAAAGCCTACCCCACACTGGGCAGTTGGGTTGGCCTAGTGGGACCCCTGTATAATATGTGGCCCATTATTGACCATAAGCAACACCTGACTGCACTACCCACGTGGTGGTTTCTCTCACCATTCTGGGGACCAAAAGCCTGAAATAAAGGCGCCGGCATGACCAGGCTCCTTCCAGAGGCTCCATGGGAGAATGCTTTTTTGCATCTCTCATCTGGTCTTCCTGAGCTTCCTTCCTAGCTCTGCCCGTTTTCACATGGTTTCTTCCCTCTGTGTGTCTGTATGTAAATTTCCTCCTTTCTCTTATAATTAGATTTAGGGTCCCCTTACATCCAGAATTAGATCATTTCAAGATCCTTAACTAATTAAATATACAAAAATTCTACTTCCAAATAATGTCACATCCTGAGGCTCTGGGTAGAGAGGAATGTTTTTCCCTTGGGGGCGGGCGCTCAAACCAACCTAGTACAAAAGTGTCATAACTGACACAAACTGAAAGTCAGCTGTTTCCTTCTTGGTTCTCGGTCAGTCTCCAAGTGAGCTCTCAGAGGTCTCCTTGTGACTCACAGCTGTGATAAGACCCAGGGTAGAGGTAATACTCGAGTTTTGCTCCTGCCACCCCAGCTAGTTCAAGCCCACAGCTTTAGCAATGATAGAATGGAAGCCCAAGGATGACAGTCCTGACCCATGTCATGTAACTAGGCAATACCACAGAAGATAAAAACAGACAAAGAGGAGGTAGAGGTGAGGTAGGGGGATGTGGGCTGGGGAGGCATGAAGATGAAATACTGTTTTAGCTGTGGGGTAACAAATCATTATCCAAAGAGGGTCTAGATGGTATAAAAGAGAAAAAAAAGAACTAGTCAATCAGAGAGAAAATTCGGAATCCTTGGAAGAGCGAGTTCCCTTCTGAGGATCAGTTTGCAAGGGATTGTTAGCCTTTTTGTGGTTAAAGGAAGGAGAGCTTCTTTCACTAGGCAAAAACCATTCCAGACTGGTCCCTGAAAGCACCGTGCGTACAATGCCTGGTGGTTGCCATGGTGAATGATGCTGATCTGAAGAAATGAATAATGTGAGCATTGGGGGCGACAGTGGGATTACTCAGACAGTGGTGAGAAAGACATCAAGGAGAGCCCAGATCCGAGGAAGGGAGAAGGCACCATCCCTTCGGCTCTGGTCCAGCCCGCCTCTGAGGGCTGCATGCTAACCCTCTAACCGGATCCACGGCGAGTATCAGGTAAGGGACATAAGCGGCTCTTCCTGCTAATGGAAATGGCTTTTCCATTCACCCTCTGCTCAGAGGAGGGCCAGGCAGTGGCGATATGAACAAGCTAAAAATAGGGGGAATTTAGAAACAGGAGCAGAGGAAGAAAAATAAATAAGAGAGACTGATTTGCTCCTATGCACTGAGGCTGCTGCTCGTGTGTTGGCAGAGAACTGTTAAATATGTCTGCTGCGGAGACCCCAGTCTATAAAGGCAGGCAGCGGCAGATTCTAGGCAAGTAGGAGGAAAATTCACAACAAGAAATGGGATCCCACTCACTCCAGATGGAAGGTTTTACAGAGGCCATTGCCTATCAAAGGAATGCATTCAGTTCTTTTCATTGAGGTTGGACGTGTATTTCTAGGGATGTGTGGGGTGCTGGGTGCAGTGGGAGGTGTGGATGAGGAGACCCACAGAAGGAATACACAGGGGGAATAAGATTCCATCTTCTTTGCAGTGACCTTCCTAGAGGGACCTGAACACTCTTGTCTCTCTCCTTTTATTACCCATTTTTCTGGAAAGAAATCTCCAGCCAAGTGAGAAGGAGCTAGTTCTTTTCCTGAGCATTGTAGTTCACTGTCACCCTTAGAGAAGAAAAACAGGATTGAAAAATTACTTGATGCCATACACCTTCCTGCAGCTCAGTCACTCCAGAGTAAGGCATGAAATGAAGGTCGGGGAGATGGGGAGAGAAGGCAGATTGTAATAGAAATCAGATTAGCTTGATATTCAATTCCCTCTAAAATCCGATTTTTTCCACTATGTCACTGAAATCTAAAATGAAAGCTGTATTTCACGTGAGACAGGAGGGGCAGAGAAGGAAGCTGGGAGAAATCTACGTGACCACATACAGGAGGAATATGGCTGTCCCTGAATTTTAGATCTGGTGAAATTCAATGAATGGGAACTCTCTCTTTCTCTAAGAGGTAGAATTAAGGAGAAAACTAAAACACTGGAAGCTGGCTGGCTCTCACTTACCAAATCAAGAGAGTTGGCTATCTAAAGAGGGCTTACTAACTTGTCTGGAAAAATAGCAACCCAATTCTGGTAGCAGACTTCATTCTGAAATAAAGTTCTATTGCTAAACCCAGCAGCCTTGCATTTGGAAATCCAGCAATTAAGTGGTTTTGAGTCTTCCTTCTAATTGTGAACTGAGTGACCTCAGATTGCTCATCTGTAAAATGATTATTCAGCTCAAAGGGTGGGGCACAGAATAAAGGGAACTGATAATCGTAAATTGAGCATCTGTAGCAACCACTGGCTAACCGTTGGTGGCTGTTACCGTTATTAACACTCACTGCACCAGTCACATTAGGTAGTACTGCTAGGCTGCACTGGCAGCTGACTGTCTTGACCTGGTACCTCTGAACTTGAAAAAAATAAAACATGAGCAGAGGTTTTGGGGAGAAATTAGCAGCCAGTGAGAAACAAAGTAAACCTCCTTTTGCCCTGGGCAACAGAATTGGGGGACTGAAAAAGAGTGGGTAGAATGTTCTAGATAACTAGCTCACAGCATTTGGGGTAGAAGCAGAGGGATTTTAGGTGAAACGTTTGCCCAACTCCGAGGTAACACACTAATGTGGGAAACTCTAGGTCGTACTGATTTCTCCCTTTCTTGCCTTTTTTTCTCTTTCTTTGGAGGGTTGAGAACCATGTCGTAGTGAAGGATCTGAGCCAGGGTAGAGGAGGCTGGGTGACTGCAGTGCATTTTCTTTTAGTTCTTTAGACTCTCAACTGTGGGCTGGGACAGCCCTGCTTTTAACTGTTCTGCCATTTCTTAGAGAGACCTGGCTGAGGACAATCAATTCTTGGGCTCTGCTTCTTTGTCTATAGAATGGGGTAGGGTGGGTCCCATCTGGACGCTCAGTGCACAGTGGCAGTGACTGCTGGAAATACATTCTTAAGGTGGGGATGTCACTGTTGGCTTTGATTCTGGTTCCAGTATCAGGATGAACATCGAGGTGGGGAACGTATCCTATACAGGAGCCATCGTTTCCTGGTCGTCCTCGGAGCCCTGCCTGGAGGACTATTACCATATTATGTACAGACCCAATTGGAACAGCATCTTCTCTGGCTATCTTCGCTACAGCTTCCACCACGAGGAGAAGGTACCCCGGACCATCAGCTCCGTGGTGCTGGAACACCTGGCCCCCTCCACACTCTACTTCCTGTGCATCAGTTGCAAGAAGGCCGCCTTCCCCTACCCGCACTACTGCACCATGTTCCACACCCTGGATAAGAGTCCGCTGGCAGCGGGGAGCTCCCTGGTGGACCCCCAGATTTCCCTGTGGGTGCTGATGGCCATTCTGCTGGCATGTTTCACCGCAGTCTTGGCCTTCATCTGCCTCCAGTTCTGGTGTGTGCGCTGCCATGAGCCCCGCTGGTCCTACCGGGCTGGCCATATGGAGGAAGCCAACGGGCTGGTGAGATGGCCTGAGGAAGCCCCGGCTCTGGGTCAGCGGGAGGAAGACCAGCAGGGCCTTCCCCTGGTAGAACTGCCTCGCAAGTGCTCCAGTGCTGGAGGGGATGCAGATGAGGAAGCAGAAGCGGAAGCTGACCAGGAAGCCAACCTAGAAGCATTTCCGGTGGGCGCCTTGCAGATGCAGGCTGGTGACCAGCTAGCTATACTGCCTTATTTTGGGAAGTGAGAAGTGGGCAAGAGCTCTCTCTGGTCGTGGAGCTCAAAGTCCCCTACAGTAGGTCTCCTGTAAAATTGTGTCTATAGAACACCCATTCCCACCTCGGTGTCTGTGCTTTTGGGGACTCCCCCAGGCTGTACAAATGCCCAGGACCAAGCTTCTGGAAAACAGCTCCCCTCACCCCACCATGGCCCAGTTAAGAGAGCACCCTGTTCAGAGTTAAAATTCTGGTTTTAATATGAAAATAAATATGAATCCAGTGTAGCCTAGAAAGTACAATTGGCATGACTTAAAAGAAAACACACTAACTGGAGGAAACGGGGTGAACATAAGCTCTCATTGTGCTCTCTGTCACCCCAAGCAGATGCCTGGCCTCCTGTGCTGGGGGAGGAGGTGGTTGTTTTGGAAAGGGGAAGGAGGCCTTGTTCTTGAGTATTCTCCAGCTTTCAGGCAATCACACCACCTTGTACCCCGCCTTATTACTTCTTTTTAAATGGGGTCAATGAGGGTCATCTCTATTCCATCATGTAGAAAAAAATTTGGCTATGTTGTGTTGCTGACACATTTCTTCTTCCAGTGGTGTTTCTTGGTCCTCCCAGAAACCCCAAGGGGAGAGACAAATCTGCCTCCATTGTGGTTTTGTGAGACTCTGTGAAAGTCCTGTCCCTATGTGGCTGTGGACATGGAAAGCGAGGCAGCAGAGATGTCTGATGTATCTCCAGCATGGAGACCCCATCAGCATCCAGCTTAGAGTGGGTGCTTAATCCAGGTCTGTCGAATGAACGGCGAGGGGAGGAAGGTCGGGAATAGGGGACCATGTGTAAGGTTTTATGAGTGTTGGATGTGTGAGTGACAAAGCGACAGAGACGGGGTCAGACCTGTGTCTCAGCTGGACCACCACTGTCTGGGAGTTCCTTCAAAGCTCCACCTTCTCAACTGCTTCCTGCCTGCACATCCCCTCAGCGTGGGGTCTCTCAAGGCCCAGAATCACGGACGATACATCATAGATCAACCAAGAAATGGGAGAAGCCCCATACTCATCTCCTGCTCTCCTCAGCAGAGTCCTCCCCCCACAGATCCCGCCTCCTAGGTCTGTGTTCCACCAACCCTGCTAGCTGTCAACAAATAAAGGCGAATATACTCTCACTGTTTCCACCTGGGTGTCACTGCTGCCTCTCCATCCTCACACTGTCTGGCTTTTCTGCATCAGGGGACACTTTTCTATTTCCTTTCGTTCACTAGCATCTCAGAAGTAGGACAAGGGCAGGTGACTTACCTTGGAACCATAGAGGTAATAAGGCTGGACGTTGGCGGGCTTATCTCTTTGTGGTTCTTGGGTGAAAGGAATGGCCGTTCGGACAAAACTAGTAAAAGAAAAGATGGGGGTGAGAGTTAACCGGGTCCTGATGCTGTTCTTCAGGGGACATGATGCAGGGCGGGGGGGATCCCTCATGACCAGGTGCAATGACACAGTTTCTTAGCTGGAGGCCTAGAAACTCTCCTGGGACACTCCCTTTCAACTCCTGTCTCCTTTCTATAGAGGGGGAACTACCACCCAGAGCCACAGGCTCAGCGCAGGGCTGGGGGCTACTCAGCAAGACTGTGGCAGCAAGCTGGGCCCGGAAATGGCCTCCAGGGCTTCCACTCATTTGCTTTCCCAGGAGCAGGGTCCCCCAGGATCTTCCTATAAAGGCTCAGATGGCAAATATCCTCAACTCTGCCAGCCAGACGGTCTCTGTCACCATCGCTCCGCCCTGCTGTCAGCATTGCAAATGCCATAAGCATCAGTAAATTCTGGAGTATGGCTGAGATCCAGTGAAACCTTATGAGTTTCAGATAAGTTTCATTTTTCACCAAATTATGATTCTTTTTTGGATTTTTTTCTCCCTGACCATTTAGAAGTATTAGCACCATTCTTAGCTTATGGGCTGGACAACAGCATGTGGCAATGAGATGTTGCTCATGGGCCACTGCTCGCTCACCCCTGATGAAGTTTCTGGTAACAACCCCAAATCTTTAGTAAGGAGTCGTCATGCTAAGTGTGTAGGTTCGAGCGCATCTATATGGATTCCTCCCAGAGCCTTCCATGTTCTCAGCAGGGACCTATTTAATGTGGCCCTGAGGTCACTGGGAGGACCTGGGAACACGCACAGGTATGTGCATGCTCAGTGCCTGCTTGAACTTGGAAATACCCGTCTCGCCTCTTCCTGCAGGTTTCCAGCCTCCATGGGAATAAGACTTTCTTTCATCTTGTCTCTGCCTGGGTCCTCGCCCAGGCTGTGTGCACATGTGGGTGCTCAGTCTGGTTTGCACACACATGTTCATGTATGTGATCATCCTTATACAGATCTTACCAGCTGATCATAACACCTCCTCCTCCAACCCTTGCAGGCTCACAAGGGCTCCATCTGAACAAGATGTCTGCTCCCTCCTGTGTCCTGCCTATCTCCTGTGCCACCATCCCCACCCCATTTTCTCCACCACCGCCAACTCCTTAGAAACTGCCTGGAGCTCTCTTCTACAGCCTTTGCATCTTATTACTGCTCATTCTCTGCATCTCAATTCCAGCATCCTTGCTCAGGGGAGAGAGAGCCTCTCTCGAGCTTCTCTGGGCTCCATAAGTTGGATCAGGTGGTGCCCTTTTCTCCCGGTCCTGGGTCTTCCCTCCATCTGCAGTCCACCGCCTGTAACACGTCCTGTGACTGTTTGACCCCCCTTCTTCCTCTTCTGGCCTGAAGGCACCAAAGGGAAGGAAGGGAGAGCTTCTAACATGCACCCCCACCTCCACCCAGAGCAAGTGTCTGGCCGCTCTGGTCTGAGGACCCTCTTACCGGTTGGTGGAGCCATTGTAGCAGTAGTTGGGGAGGAAGTCGAAGTTTAGCTCCCAGAAGACGTGCAGGGTGATGCGTCCATAGGGGGCAGACACATTATGGTTGGCCTCACGGAACATGGCGTCGAAGCTGTCCAGGGTCAGGTGCTTGCACAGCAGCCGGTGTGTCAGCCGGTTGATCTCCAGCAGCCACTCCAGCTCCTGCCCAGGGAGAGATGGTGCTGCTGAGGTTTCCTGGCACTGCTTCATCCACCAGGCTTTTCCTGCAAGCCACAGCCCCTCAGCCACCTCCTAAGTGTCCACAGAGACCCCACCTTGGCCAGGGACCCTCTCCCATGGCTCGGAACCACGTGGCCTTCTGAGAAGTGGAAGGAACTGGCAGATGATGCTGAGGATACTGCATGTCCACAGACCATGTGCAGACCCCATTCGTACCCCTTAGGGTGGAGAGCAGGCCTGCTTGCTTGCCAGTGTCCAAACAGTGAGGAACCAGTGTGTCCTTTAGAGTCACAAGGCTGTCACCAGAGGTGGTGTTTGCTCTGCAGAGGGCAGCTGGCAACGGAATGCTCACTATGAGGTCAGACCAGAGAAAACTGGTCTTTTGGAGCACACACCATCAAATATTAGTGCTTTTGTATGACCCAACTTACTATGTGCCAGGCAGTAAGTATCCTGAGCACTTTATACAAATTAATGTCCCCCATCGTCCATATCACTGCCATCCTTCCTTGATAAACACAGGAACCCAGGCTTTGAGACAGTGAGTAATTCAGCTTCAAAGGCAGGGGCTCCCAAGTCCACATCCTTCCCCACCATGTATGTAACACCTGCCTATGACACATGTCTAGAACTCGGAAGTGTAAAATCAGCTAGGGCAGAATGCCCCCTCCTTGTCCCTGGTCATTGGAACCCAAGCTACAGCACGGGAGCACAGTGATCTTATCTGGACCAGCAGGCCCTGGAGTTTGCCAGGAAGGGAGAGTGAAATCCTTCAGCCTCGCTTTACTGTCCTGCTGCTTCCCAATCACTGCCATCCATAAGAATAGAGGTACAGTCCAGTGCAGAGAGGAGACAACTGCCTTTGTGATGCTCTGGAACAGCACCACATTGCTTTGGTTAAGCTGTCTGCCCCATCTCACAGAGAGAAACTAAGGTTCAAGGGGTAAGGTCACACAAGAACTGTGGACCTGGGCTTAGCAAGTGAATTCAGTGCTTTTGGCTCCCAGCATGAGTGTCTGGCTGCTGGGGTGCACTGTCCAGAACAAAGAAGCAATCGTTAAGAAAACTTTGGAAAAGAAAAGTTGGTTTTAAAACATAAAAGCTAAAAGAATTTTGCAAGGTGGTTCTCCAGAGCAGGGCCAGCTTAGAGGATTGGGACCTGGCCTCAGTGTAGGTCATGGGAGGCATCCTCACTCTGGGGTGGGGGGTGGGGATGTTTGGGATTCAGCTTTTTCTCATCAACTCCTGGGGCACACTGACCTGGCCAGGCTGTGACGTGGTGGAGGCCCCAGGCCAGGCTTCCATTTTGGAAACCTGGATTCTGGGGATGTAGATTGGGGTACAGAACTGATTGAAGCTTGCAAATTTAAGTGGCTGCAGGGGCCAGACAAGGCAGGCACACCGGACAAGCTGGCAAAGGAAGGGAGAGCCCTGGGCCAGGGGTACAGCTCCTGCCAGACCTCTAGATGCAGGGTGGCTACTAACTCCACGTTGCACAAGGAGTGATGGCAGATCCTGCCATTTCTCAAAAGAAGGTTGAAATCTTGGATTCCAATTCCGGAGGTGCACTGAAGACCATGTTTCCAGTGACTGTGCCATAGAGGAAGGGCAAAGATAAGAATCTGCTCTCCGCAGGTCTATGGGGCCTGGCCAGCTTGGCTGTATCTTTGGTACCATTTGGATGGACAAGAAAATAAAAAGTAAGTGTAGTGAGCACTAATGAGTTGATGTCTAAGATCACTGAATCCCTTGGCACTGAGGTGTTGGGGAGACAACTCCTGCTGGGAACGTCTGTCCTCACCTTCCGTGATTGAGTCTTACAGATGTGTGTCTCCTTCACAAGGGAGACTGAGGCAGCGTTCTCGTGTCTGCTGATGAGTGGCTGCTGGGAACTAGGCCACTTCTGCCACAACAATATGAGGTGTCTTTGTTGGGCCATCAAACAGACATGGGGCTCAGTGTTTGAAACCCCATGGAGTGGGGTTCAGAGGCCTCCTGAGTGCTTTCTATAGGACTGGTTTACTGAGGGGCAACAGAGGGGAGCAGAACTAAGAACATAAAATAACCCAGTGGGCCATTTCTGTGCAGTAGTGGGAAGGTCATTCCATGAGTGTGCCACACTGCAGCAAGTTCTGGGGCCAGAAGAGCTGGGGATGCAGCATGGCCCCAGGTCACACATATGAGTGGGGAGCACCGGTGGGGGCTGAAGGGACTATCTAGTCATTTCCTGGCAATTGTTGGCACCTGGGAAGGCCAGCCTGGGGCTTCCAGAGCTGCTACAGTTTTGCTTGAATTCTCCCAAATGTTAAATGTTGGCTCAGAATCTTGACTATGCTCTGTAGCCTAAACAAACACTGCAGGCTGCCAGTTCTCAGCTTCAGCATGGATCTCTAGGGTACAGGTTTGCTGGGCAGGGTAGGATGAGGATGAGCTGTCTCAGGTGGAGGCAAGGGTGAGGGGGGCACATTCCTTGCTGTGATTTTTGGAAGAGTCAGAAGCTTCTCAGGCGAAAGGAGTGGGGGCCTCCTGATGCTGCCCCCCTTCCCAGGAGAGCGCTCCCTGGGGCCTCTTCTTCAAGGTCTTCACAGGAAGAGGCTGCTCTCTTGGGGTTGAGCTCACCTGATAAACACACTTTCATTACTTGTTTTGATTTTGTTCCCAGCTAAAAGAACATCCAGTGTCTTTTGAGGGGTGGGAAGAGGTCATGGACACCCCCGCATCCCCCAAACCAGCTTTTCCATAAGAAATCCCCAATACTGGGAAACTAGAAGACTCAGCAAAACAGGAAAAGAAGAAAACAAAAATCCTCCCACTTGGAGATAGTCACTGCTAACATTTTGGCATAAACAAAGAAACATCTATTTCTAATGATACATTTCCCAGGAGAACGGGTGCTGTGTTTATTATAGTCTCTGAACTTTAGTAAGAGGCCCAGGACTTTGATGGGCCACTACATCAAGTCCTATTAGAAAATGCTGGGGGAGCGTCACTGAGAATTCGTTGCTGCCCCAAGTTTCAAGGTCCCTCTTATCTTTTTTCCATAAGCTCTAATTTAAGAAGTGCAAAGAGTGATGTATGCAAAGCTTTTTCCATGTAAACCCCCCGCTTTGTCCTCCAAGACCCACTGAGGGGGATTCTAAGGCTCCTCCTTTGCACAGATGAGGGAACGGTTGTGGGGAAGATGAGTAATTGGCCTGAGGTCTCCCAACTGGTCAGCAGCAGGGCCAGGGTGGCATCTTGGGTCTGTTGATGCTAGAACCTGGGTTCTTAGTCACTGTATTTTTCCCACTTTAAGAAAAAAAACAAAACAAAACCAACAACATCTTTTTGTAGTGAAGTAATTTTACACTTAGAGAAAAGCTGCAGAAACAGCAGACACCCTGCATGCCCTGACCCCAGGCTTCCTGGGATGATTTGCATAGCCAGAGCATCCAGTGTGACTTGCATAACCAGAGCATCATTATCAAAAGTAGGAAACTGACATTATTGATCCAACACCATTAACTCACAACAGACTTTACTCTGATTTTCCCAGTTTTTCCATGAAGGTCCGTCTTTTATCCAGAATTCAATCCAGGACCCACATCATATTTAATTCTCATGTCTCTTCCTGAGACAGTCCAGGTAAAAGAAATTGTGAGCCAGTAGGATAAAAGTTGCTCAAGTCCTGTTTGAACAGGGGAGCTAAATCATGGGCTGGTGAGGCCTGTCCAAACAATCTGGCCAACACACTGACCATTAGGTGCCATGCTGCACAAAAAGCCTTAGATCTTCACTAATCACTAATGATTATCTCACTTTCCTGGAGGGAGAAAGCAGATGGCCCACACGGGGAGTTGGGATGGAACCATCCGCACATGCCCAGGTATGACCCAGCCCAGAAAAAATTATGATGCCTTTCTCCTCCCCTCTAGAGGACTTACCCTTTAAATGTCTCCTCACAACTCTACTGCAGGAGCCAGTCTCTATTAGCATTTCCTGCACTGACTCCCTCATGCATGAGTCTGTAATGAAGCCTTACCCGATTCAGCTAAACCCAATGCTCTCTGGTGAATTCTTTCCTAGAGGACAAAGGACCCACTCTTTTGGGTGGGGGGCTGTAGCACTTCATCTTTCCCAATCTCTGACAGTTTCCAGTCTTTGTCTTTCATGATCTGGATGCTTTTGAAAAACACAGTTCACTTTTTAAAATGCATTTCAATTTGGGCTTATTTCTTGTGAGTAGATTGAGATCATGCTTTTATTTTTTTGTATGAGAATACACAAATCAGGGGATACAGGAACACACATGAGGATGTCCTGTCACTGGTGACACTGACCTAGCTTACTACTCTTCCCTTGGAAGTTAACAAATATCGTTAGGAGGTCCTTTGATCCTTTTACTTTTCAAATATTAACGTTGCAAATTTTCTGTCCACAAATATTAATGTATGGAAATACCCTGTTACTTCTTAAAGGATTTTTAGAGTAATTTTGTTACTGTGGGAAAATATGCATAACATAAAATTTACCATTTTAGTCATTTTTAAATGTATAGTTCTGTGTCATTGACACATTCACAAAGTTGTGCCACCATTACCATCATCTGCCCACCTCCAGGATTTCTTAATCTTCCTCAACTGAGACTCTGTTACCCACGAAACACTAACTTCCTCTTGGCTCGGACGCACCATGCCACCTCCTGTCTTCAGGAATCATCAAATCCTGGAACCTCAGAGGAAGAGGAGTCATATAACAAAGTTCTCCCCATCGGTTGCTGGGAGCAGCCTGCAGCAATGGTTACTGAGGTGCTCCAGTGGCAATTTTCTATTGTCCTCCTTACTTCTACTCATCTGCATTTAAAAACATTAACATTTTCCTTTGATTCACTTAAAGGTTGACATGTCAAGTTCATTCTAACTCTCAGAGAAAGAGAACTAGCTGAAAGCAATTCAAATTGCAGTTGAAGAGGAGAAAGGTGCTTGTGCACCATTTGCATGTCCCAGTGGTAAATGGAAACATGGGACTTTTTGTTAAAAATGATTTAGAAAATCAAGATGACGACAGCTGAGCACTAAACCAAGCTCAGCGCCCTGTGGGTGCTGTCTAGCAAACACCCACAAAGCCCACCTACTGTGCCACCTTTCCCAGCTCCTCAGGACCACCCACCAACCTACTCCCTGGGATCTGCAGAATCCCAAAGGAGAAGCAGCTGGGTCGGGCATTAGTCACCTCTAGAGTTTTTAAGATAAAGTCTCCAGGCAATGGAAGGGTTTAGATTAGTCTCTTTTTGTTCCTGCCCCACTCAGATGGGAAAGACCCACTGGAGCCCCCAGTTCAGCCTCCAGCCTGGACTCTGAGGACTCCGAGAACGGTGCTCCCAGCCAATCTCTTACCACGATGGAGGTCAGGTCCTCACTCTCGAAGCGGCTGATGGCCTGGTCCAAGGACTTGTACATGGCGGCAGAGATGCGCTGGGTGATGAGTCTGTTCAGGTCAATCGATCGACCCAAGAGCTGGATGGGAGAGTGAGAAGAGTCATGAGACATTTGCACTGTCGCCTGACAGCCAAACGTTGGCGCACACAGACACCATCAGACTCGCAGAATGCGGGGTTCCTGGGACAAATGGACTCTACTAGAAACGGTTACATTTCCTAGTGTGATTATTCTGTCTTATAAGTGAATGTCTTTGTTCTTAAAAGACATAAGCTGAGGGGTCATAATGTCTGTAATTTAATCTCAAATGACTAAGAGAAAAAGTATATATTTAAAAACTCCACATTTAGGTGCCTCCCTGGTGGCACAAGGGGTTAAGTGTCAGCTCTATGAAACTATCTGCAGCCACTTAGCAGGAGTTCAATCCCTGGCCAGGAAGGTGATCCACATGGTGCAGCAGACCTCTCCTGCCTTGCCTGCTGCTCCCCTCAGCAGTGTATTTCAGTAGATCTGCTTGTTCTGCTCCCCACTTTGTCTCGGGTGAATCCTCTCACCCCCTGTACCTCTGACCTGCACCCCAGTTCTTGTTTGCATAAATAAATACTTTAAAAAATAAATAAATAAAAACTCTACATTTAAAACTACATGTATAGAGAAACACATCTTACTATATAATTTATATATGCCATAAATGCATATTTATAGTTTAATAATTATATTTATTTGCTGTATTTATGAAAGAAAAACAAGCAGGGTAAAGTAAAGTTGCTAAAACATTAATAAACACAAATCTGTCTATACAGTATATATGTGTTCACTGTATTATTCTTTCAACTACTCAGTAGTCTTGAGCTATTCAAAGGTAAGGAAGAATATGATTCACCCCTGCCGTAGAAGAATTGAGCTCTGAAGTTTTCCCTGCATCTGTCCTGTGCCCAATTCAGTCACCAGGGAGTAGCTGTCCCCTCAGCAAGAGCCTACTGTGTGCCTTTATTGGGAGAAAAGTAAAAGCAAGGACAGAAAATCAAGCTTCCTACACCTCCCCTGGAGTACTGTGGGCATTATTGCAGATGTCAGGTGGAAAGCAACATACATTTATTGAGCACCTGCTGTGTGCACTGCTCTTTGCTGGGGGAAGAGTCCAAGCATTATTCTTAATGTTGTTTTTTTTTCCCCCACTTCCTTTTGGGATAATTTTCAGACAACAGATTAGGGCCCCTACAGCCATTTGGTGCACACACGCAAAGCACTCCATATTCAATGTCCTCATTCTGACTGCCTCGTGACTGAGCAAACTTCTGAGAGGTCTGAGGAACAGGGCGAGCTGCTGTTGTTGGCAGAGGCAGAAATGTTCTTTGTCCTCTTACGATTCTCCAGTCTCCTTGGAATTCTCAGAGCAATGTGCATCCAGGGTTTCCAGGGCAACCCTTTCCCCTTCCCAGCTACGGCCCTGCTCCTCCTCTCCAGTGCTCTCCACAAATACATTGACAAGCACATAGAGGCCGCAGAACCACACAAGGCCATATCATCAATGGCCTTGCTCCATGGACAGCGGGGCGCGGGCGTGGGGCACAGAGTCTGCCAGCGCATCTTATTTTTCCTGCTGGGCTCACACATTTTAAAGCAGAGGTAGGTTTCTGAGCTCTCAGGAACATCCCTTCTGCATTGGGCATCAAATGTTAACAGAAACCAACTCCCCAAAAGTGAGTCATGATCTCCCCACCCCACTGGGTTCAGTGAACATTCATTCGAAGGCCCATGGCCTCCTTCACCGGGACCAGCACTAGGGTCCTCCCCGCTCAGGACAGATTTACCCTTTGCCCAGAGGCAGTGTGCACTGAGCTGGTGATGGGGACAAAGGCTTTGGAGGCTGCTGCAGCCAGAGGTGAGCTGCTGATGGGCTGAGACGCCTAGACCCTGAAGCAAAGGAAGCCCAATGGCTGGTTTGTAAGATTACGAAGCTGTGGCACACCCTTGCTCAGCAGCTCACTCGGGTCAGAGCTGGGCAGACAGCAGTGCAAGGTCCGCCGCTGGTGTCACTGCAGATCTCTCTTCGCCCTCTCCTCCCGTGGCACCCCCTCCTCCATGTTCCTTCTCCATACCTGCACATGCCTCTGCTTCAACAGCGTTTCATAGCGGTTGGATGGCGGGTACGGAATGATGACCCCGTAGTTCTTACATTCAGCTCGAAAACGTTTATCCAATAGCACACTGTATAAAAGTAAACAAGACCAGTAAACAAGACCCTGACTGCGTCTCAATGGCCCGGCCACATCTATTTCAGACCATAGGCTCTCCACATGAGGTGCTATCTTGTGTATTGTATATATATACATATATATATATATTTTTTTTTTTTCCCTGCTCTAGAGCAAGGGTTTCAAATTTTCCTTCTCCATCAAATTTCAGTATGTGAAATAGAGCTTGTAACACGGGAACAAAGAGGCTGAGCACTTTCCTTTCACTTGATTACCAAGAATGAATCGAGTACTTGGTCTATTCCTGGAAATTCCTGGCATAGGGGGTGCCAACTTTCTGTCCCTGTGGGGCTGGGATTCTGGTGAACAGAGACTGATAGTGAATAAATAGGCAGAGGAATAAATTAACTTCAGACAACAGGAACATCTGCACTGTTCACTATTTCTCAGGCATGCACATATACATCTTTAATTTCACACCGCCCTGTGAGTTCATGTATTCATGTATTCTTATTGTCTTTCACACTGTGATCAGGATTGCAGGTGATTGTACTCTGAAAAGGACTAAACATATCATCTGACAAGTCAGGAAAGGCCTCTCTGCAGAGGTTGTTTGGGACAGAGACCTAACAGCTAAAAATTGGTACATCTGGTGGAGGAACCTCACTGCTGTGTTTGGCAGCAGAAAGATGGCTAATGTGTAATAGCTGAAGGCCTGCTGGACAGAGCCCATGGCAGAGGTGAGTTATAAGGTTAGTCTAAGGCCAGATCATACAGAACCACATAAGCCCAATACGGGGGTATATGTTTTCTGGATGTAACTGCCAACCACTGAGGTGGCCACCAGGCACCTGGGGCTCCCAAGCACTTGAAATGTGGGGTGCAAGTCCAGTTGTGTGTATATGCACAAAATACACACTAGGAAAAGACAATGACAGCTATCTCTTTAATAATGTTTATCTTGATTACCCATTAAAATTATAATATTTTTGATATATTGGATGATATAAATAATGCATTATATATAAAATGCATTATTAAAATAAACTTCACCTGTTTAATCTCTCCTTTTTAAAATATAGTTACTAAAATTTTTAAATGGTTGTAGGGTAAGGTAAAAAAGTATCAGGCTTTTCTGCCCTCCTATCATTAAATTGATGATGGATACCTGTGGTCCTGAATGCATGCCTGATGGTTGGCACCTGGAGTAGGGTGTGGGCATACGTAACTGGGTACACCTGGGCTGAGAGACTGGGCTTTTATAAGGGCGGCATCATGGGGACGCCAGAGGAACAGCAGAATGAAAGAGCAAAATAGTGCACCAGAAGAGCAAAAGAGAGAGAGAATGCCAGAGAGCCCAGAAAGAGTGAAGGAAGACTTGTTGCGGGCTAGGAAGCCTGCTAGCCTCCTGGCCCCCTGGTACCCCTGCCTGCTGTGTACCCGGTAAATCCCAATAAAAGCCTGAAAAAGCCACCGAGGGCTCCAGGACTCCTCCTTTAACCTGTCTGCGTAGGATTGTAGAGATCCTGTCCTATGGCTGTCCTGCCCCTACAATGGTATTTGTGGATTACACTTATGATAGCAGGATCTTCCAATTGGACAGGACTGACCCAGATCATTTTCTCCCTTAAAACCCTCCCCAATCAATCAGGTCCCTGTGTTATTTTTGAAACCATTCCATGTGGACATTAGTATTGTACAAGCCGCACGATCTGGGCCTGCTGGTCTCACCAGCTTTATTGTGTGGCCTGCATGTACTGATTCACATCTGCCCTCTCAACAACCGTAGGGCACAAACATGCTATCATTACATAGGTATGTACACACATGCAATTTATACATACTTGTGCTATATACATATATACACAAACAGTAATATACATCTGTGTAAATATATCATACATAATTTATTATTCTGCCACAGGGCCTTTGCACATGTAGTTCTTCTTGCCTGCTACTTCCTGTCCCCTCCTTCACCTAATTTTACTTAACCCTTGGCCACTTCAGATATGAACTCAATGTTATGTTCTCATATAGCCTTTCTAGTCCCTACCCCAAATACTGGATAGGGTTCAACTGTCATATATTCCCATATTCAATCACAGGGCACAGGTGATGGCCTTGTCATGGTGCAGTCAATACTTCTTACTGATGTCTGTCTTCCCTGCTAGACTGTCAGCATTATGACCTCCAGCACCATAGCTACTTCTTTACTATCTCCTCTATCCCTGCACCCAGTCCAGGCCATGACTGAGTTCAGATTTCTGTAGGTGCTGAAGAGAAAGGGAGGGTTTGCAATAGCAAACTGTCTCCAGGCACCAGCGTTGGGATGGTCTGACACTCCCGGCCCAGGGCGCTCATACCTGCCGGCCATGGCCTTGTAGTAAGCAAAGATCTGGTCCGCCAGCTTGTAGACAAACTGATCAAAACACAGGTTCACCTGGTGGGGAGGAAGGGGGCACATTAGTGGCGTCTGTTCAGCTCTTTCCCAGAAGCTCAGGCAAAGGAGCAGTGGGGATTGTGAGTGGACACAGAATGAAACAAAACATTCTATGGCCAAGCAACTTTGGAAGTTTAGTCCCTCACTCTCAAGGTGCTCAGTGAGGTAGAGAAGGTCAAATTCACACGGTCAAATTCACATTGAACAGCTGCCTATCCCACAGCCCTTCCTAGCTGTCTAAGGGGCTGCCCAGGGGTAAGGCAACAGCTAGACCTGACCTCAGCCTCCCTGGCATCATCACTCATGATAGGCTGCCCATTTTTCCCTTGCACCGCACTTCACCTTGCTCTGCAAATAACCAAGTGGATGGTCATCAGACATGTAAAAATTTCTTTTTACAAACTGCTTAAAAATCTTTAGTTTTAAAAGAACATGGGACAGTCCTGCCCATCAAGGTTTCATCACTTTAGTGGCAGACTGTGATGCTCAGATGAGAATAAAATTCACAACAGACTGTAGGGGAGCAAAAACCTGCCACTCCAAAATATGTCTGCGTGGCAAAATTTGCAGGCAGGGCAGAGATTGTTGTTGAAAAAGGTATTCACATGCAAACTTCTTTAAGGGTGTGTGCTGGGAAAATCTTATCTTCTTTCTTTTCAGTGGAGAAGACAGAACTTAATCTGCATACCTTTGTCTATTGTGCCATCTCTGGTCACCTCCCATTTCTCCCCCAGAGAAGTCCCAGCTCAGCTATTTAGGATGGTGTCTGAAGACACATGGGCCAGTTATTCAGTCCTGCTGGGTCTCTCCCAGGTAGATAGGAGGTATGCATATTATTATTAAACCCCCTGTTGGGCTTTTTTTCACTATCAATCTCTCTGGTGCTTGTTTGATTATTTGCCAGCCTAGAAGAACCCAGAGGGGTGCAGGTGATTTCCTTTGTGCCCCAATAAGAAACAGAAAACTCAAACCAGATCCTCCAAGGATGGCAGGAACAGGGAGTGGTTGGGGGTGGGGTGATGTGGAGGGGAGAAGGTTGTGGAGGGGCTCTAAAAAGACAGGCTGTGCTTAGAATCAGGCACTAAGAGTGACTTCAAAAGAAACTATGTATTTAGGTGATTAATCCTCAAGTCTTACAATTTTTCAGCTTTCTAAGGTTAACTCTTTATCCAAAGAGCTTTCCCATCTTTGTTTTCTACCTTAGCTGTTATTCTGAACACAAAAACACAGTGCTGTCTTCACATGCACCTGAGGCATCTAACTGTGGCAACTGCTTTGGAGGCTGAGTTTCCAGGGTCCCCAGTGCATCCTCCTCCAGACAAATACTCCACAGGGTCCAGGAGTCTGGACCCATGTTCCTCTTTTAGAACTAGCCTTGAGTCTCCCTCCCAGTCCAAGTGTGTGGCTGTGTGCCAGGGTTCATCCTGAGGATGGACTGCACTGCAGATGTGTACACCTTTGGGCCTCGGGGTCAGCCAAGGAGCTACTTTTGAGGCAGGGGCAGGAGACAAAGTGTGGACATTCACATATGTGTGGGCATTCACGCATGTAAGTAGTGAGGCATTTCACAGTGCAGAAAAGAATTGGGAGATGGGGAGAGACAAGAGGCCAGCCATCAGCTGGGGTCTCAATCAGTACATCTGATCCCTGTTCTAGAATGTTACATAGGACTTATTTAAAACTATCACTTGGACACATGTCACTGGTGAATTTTTGCTTTTTGTCCTCCACCTTTTGGAGAACATGACATCTTGTTAAAGAGAAGATGCAAGCAACTGGCTGGACTCCTGGCACCTATTCCCTAAGCTGGTGCCACTCAGGAGGCAGAAGAGATTGGCAGTGGGATACATCAAGGTTTTCAATCCTGCTAGAAATCAGAGGATTCAGAGAGAAAAGCAGCATCTCTACTGGTTTTTCTTTGAAAGAATTCAAACTTTCTAGAGAATTTGGTGTTAATGCTTACCCTAACGTAATCACATCCCTCCCTTAGAAATAAGAATCCTGTATGTTTGTACAATTGTACTTAATTGGCTTTGTTCTGTGTTCATACAGCACCATGCCATTAAGTAGGGTAGAGACTAGCATCCCAATTGCCAGGAGGCAAAACAGATATTTCAGTCACCAGTGCGAGAGGGCATGGATGTTCGGTGCTTCTGGGCCCATGAAGGATTGTACTTCTCTGCACCTCTTAAAAGGAGCCAGGTGACTTGCTTTGACTAATGATGTGTAGCACCAGGTAGAAACTTGAAGTATGAGAGTGTGATTCACCCTAAAGTGCCATGGCAACCAGTGAATGGGTCCCAGACGAGCCTGATGAACAGAGCCTCATGCCAACCCACCATGGAGAAATCAACCTTTGCTTTCCAAGCCACTCTGAATATGGAGTCTTTGTTTCTGCAGCATGACCTGGCTCATCCTGTCCACGATGGAAATAAAGCCAGCCAGTGACTCTTCACTGAGCAGCCCAACAGGCAAGAAGCTGCTATTTCAGTCCTAAAGGGACTTGGATGAGACTGTCCCCTTGTGACCTCAGGGGTAATGATACCGACCACTGTAACCCTCAGATTTAGTATCTGTAAAATAGATAGTAGCATATTCTTCTTCCAGTTGTAAAGATTATTTAAAATGTCTATCTAGTGCTTAGCACTGTGCCCAGTAAATGGTAAATACATAATAATTGGCAGGTGGAATTACTATTGTTTTATTATTACTCGAATAATCTAACCATAAAGGACCTATTTGAAATCTAATTTAAACTAATTAGCCCATCATTGGCCATTGCTTAGTATACTTCAAAAAGAAAGTCCATAATCCACTCCAGGTCTTTTTTGATGATCATGATGTTTACAAAGGTCATTCTCCAGAACATGCTGTTGATCCCCCATGTTATGGTTTGAATGTGTCTCCCCCAAATTCATATGTTGAGATTCTACCAAAGCCTGTGATGGCATTCAGCGGTGTGGCTTTGGGGAAGTAATAAGGCCATGAGGGTGAAGTTCTCATAAATGAGGCCAGTCCTCAGTAAAGAGACCCCAGAGGGCTTCCTCTGGCTCTTCCACCCTGTGAGGACACTCCAAGATGGCCTGTGACCAGCAGAGCATCCTTACCTGACCACCCTGACTCAGACCTGCAGCCTCAAGCACTGTGAGCAAAGCATTTCTCTTGTGTCCCAGTCCCACCCAATTTGTGGTGTTTGTGACAGCAGCCAGAACAGACTAACACACCGCACTTTGTGTCAAGAGCTAAAGACTGGAAAAGTCCAGATAACAAGCATGTCACTTGCCTCTGCTTCGATCTCATCGTATAGAAACTGCTTCTTGAACTTGGTCAGGGCATAGTAGGCGCTGTCGTTGTACAGATCCAGAGGGTAGAGCACGTACCTGCAGAGGAAAAGCAGCAATGCCAGCTTACCATGACCTCCTCAGGGACATGGAGGTGGGTGCGCAGGTGTGCAAGCACAGAGCAGGGAGGCAGAGTCCTCCTGCCTCTATCAGGAATGCCTGACCTCACAGTCAGCATGGAAATCAAAAGTCCATGATGCTCCATAAATCCAAAAAATTAGACTGGGGCAAAACTAAATCAGCTCCCCGATCCCCAGAGATGAAGTTCTTTGCCCAGCTTGGCTGGCATGGGACAGACAAAATCTAGGAAAGTCAGTGGGACTGGTGGACTTTGGATTCCATCTGCAAGGCTAAGAGGAACCAGGGGTGACCTGACTCTTGACGTGCACTCTATCCCTGAGGGGGCATGCAGCCTCATCTGGAACATTCTGGAAAGAATGGAGCTCATATGCAAACTACCCCCCATCTGGGAACCTGCCATCCAATCCTGCCTCTTACTCCATCATGGAAGGTTCTTTGGTTTCCAGGATGTGATCTGTTAGAATCCAGGGCATGGACATCTCAATGGGGAACTGGATCCGCCGGCCCATGGTTAACTCCAGGAAGAACTCTCGGAACCAGAGCTGGGAGAGGTCACAACACTGCTGCAGGGCTTCTGAAAGCAGGAGGGAAAGAACCTTGGGTCACACAGGGCAAGTGCCAAGAGACTTGTTCTTACAGTTTTGCTTTTGTTTACTCTAATAGCTGTTCTGTGGCTGTGCTGGGAACACAACAGTGCCCGTGGATGGCAGCTGATCGGCAGCATGAGCTCTGGGGGCTGGAAGAACAGCCTAGAATCTAGATCCAGAGTATGGGGCTAGGTGAAAATGACAATATGGAACTTTAGACACCCCCATCATTTCCATCATCCCCCTTGCAAAGCCATCCCCCCAAAACGCAATGGAAGTGTAAAATGTGCTTGCTATATACACACAGTATCCAGATACACAGCATCTCCCAAGTGCCCGTGTTTAAGTGGACTACAGCTCCTTGACCCCTGGAGGTGGTCCTTCTGGATTCCCTAAAGCCCTTCCTAGACTACACACCCTGGAGATGTCTGGATCACTTGTTGAGATTCCTCTTTTCAGCACCAATAGTGGCATCACCACCCTACCATGACATGGGACATCGCACTCCATCTGCCCTGTCTTATCACCTCTGACATGCTTTTTAGAGCACAGAAATTGGGACACAGGGTCAGGGTCGATCCCAGGAGCCTCCTCTTGCAGGAATCACTCAAGGAGTGGCTATTGGAAGCCAGAGGCTGACCATGGGCATGTCTGTGTCTGTGTACATATTCCTGGTTTGAGCTCCTGCACTGACGACCTTATGACAAATCAATAGACAAATTCAGCCGAGTCGAACTGAGCCTTTTCTTGCTTCCAAAGTCACCAGGGAGTGTGCATTTTCCCCTTGGTGGCAAAATGTATCCCTTCAGGGCAAGATCAAGTCTCTTAGCCACTTCTGCCCCACGGCCCAGTGGCTCCAGGACCCTGAATGGCTGGCCGCCGAGGCTCACCACTGATATTGAGCAGATGCGTGAAGAAGAAGGACTGCTTGTGGAAGTCCTCGATGGCCAGGACGATGGGGCCATCCAGGCTGCTCCTCAGGGTCTTCTTGGAGCCGCTCTTATCGGCAATGAGGGATTCCAGCATAGTCCGTACCATGTACAGCTTGAAATGGAAGTGAGATGAGAAGGTCAGGGGTGGGCCCTCTATCCCCAGGAAAAGGTTGCTTTGTGCTGTGGTTTATGTTTTCCTTTATTTCTGCAGATGTCTGCTCTTAAAAAGCACTGACTTAAGGAAGCGCAGTGCAGGGTTGAGAAATGAATATGGGTGTAGCAACCTTCAAGAGGAAGCCTGCTAGCCTGGGAAGGAAGCCTGCTGGGGGCCCGCACACCTCTGGGGTGGGTGGACCTGGCAATACCAGGGAGTTCAAGGCTCAGGTTCCTGCCTGCTCAGTTCGGCTGCAGGCGTGGGCAGCGGAAGACCTTAGTCTCGTCACTCTGGGTTCACTGGACAGCTATGGTGGCACCAGGGATGGAGCCTGAACTGAGAGTAAAGACAAGAGTTCAAGGCCAGCCACTGCTATCAATTTGCTGTGTGACCTTGGGCAGCAACACCCCACTCTGGGCCTCAGTTTTCTTCTCTGCTAACATAAGGGGGTTGCCCCAGAAGCTTTTTCAAACCAATCCCTTTCAGCTTTAACATCTGAGGATCTGTGACCTGGGCTAGCATCTAAATAAGCATGCCCCGCCCCCACCTCGTTTCTGACCCGTGGAAGCTTGAATCAGCAGCTGAGGGATGGTGCCCCCTGGTGGCGCCAACTGCATTGCACAGTCTGCCAAAACTCAGGAGAAAGTGGTGCAAATTGGTACTTACACGGGAGGCCTACTAGACAATTAACCCCAGCTTACAGAGAGCCCGAAGCGCAAAGGACACAAGTGCTAATCTAGAGCTTTCCACATCATTTGAATCTTAAAGCTGGAAGGGGCCTTGAGGAGCCAGGCTAGTCCATTCCCGAGCCTCCTGGAGAAGTCTACCCAACCAACCCAGCAGGCGGTGTTATACCAGGGATCGGCAGCCTCTTCGGCCCTGTGTGCCACCAGTGGGGTGAAACAAAGCCCGCGGGGACCACTGGCAGGCCTAAGACATAGATAGGAGAGAGGAGAAGGGTGTGGGAGGGCAGGAGAGACAGGGAGAAGGGAGAGAGAGAGAGAGAGAAGAGAGAGAGAGAGAAAAGCGAGAGGTATTGTATACAGTGGGGATGCCGCCACGACTGCAAGGGGCCACTGGCCTCCACCTCTGAGCTGCTCCAACCTCCCTCTGGCACCATGTGCATCCTGGCTGCCTGAGACTCTCCTCTAGGACCTGACCCTCCACGCCTGGCATTGAGAGGTGGCGTGGCTTGGGAAAGGAGTGGAGTGCCATCTCCACCAGGTGTGTCCCTCTATGTTCCAGGAACTTCCTTAGTTTATGACAGTCCACCCCTGAAGCCCCATTGGAGATATGCCTGATCATCCCTAAGACTCAAGTAGCACTGTTCAAATGATGGAGTCTCAAAGAAAGGATTCATCAAGTTCAATCCATGTGGTGCTGACCCTTGGTATGAAATTCTACCTATCTGGAAATCCATTTGGTCTATAAGAGGGGAAACCCTTTCCCCACCTGCTTTTGCTGAACAGAGCAACGAATTCACCAGAACAACCAACATCCGGAGATGCTAGATGCCGGCGTCCACAGAGCCTGGGAGGCAATCAGGAGACCTGTTTCTTGCCCCACCTCCACCTGACACCCACCTGGTGGCTTGAACAAGTCACTTCCCCTCTCAGACCTCAGTTTCCCTAACTGTGAAGCATGGGAGGGGGCTGGGGCTAGCGTATCTCTTAAGTTTTTCTAGTTCTGACCACCTAGGAGTCGATTAAATGCACCAGTGCCACTTGACATGACTCAGGGTGATGGGACTTACATAGGGTGGGAGGGTGACATCCCCTCCTACACTATACAAGGTCTCCTACCTTTGCTCCCTCTCTTTCTCTCTATCTATCTCTCCCCTCTTTCCTGCTCCCTCTCCCCTCTCAGTTTTTGTCCCTCTCCCTGTCTCTGTCTAGTGCCCCCTCTCCCCCCGCCCCCACTTCTCTTTGCCTCAGCTGTCTCTTCCTCATGCATGTCTTAGAACTCACAAAAACACCCCACAGCCTTGCTCAAACTCTCCAGGGTATTCTGGGCTGGAAAGGTCTCTGGTCCTTGACACAACCCAGAACCGTAGGTAGAATCTTCCTCAAGATGTTCCATAACCAGCAGGCAAAACTGGTTCAGACTGGCTCTGTGGCCGTGAAGCTGAGAAAGTTAGATAGCACTGCCTGGATCATCTCAAGATCACCCTGCCCCCCCCACCGGCCCCCGGGACACAGACACACACAGATGACTCACGGGATCAGGGTCCCAGAATTCCAGGGTGGAGAGAGGCTTAACGGTCCCGCCGTGAGGTGGGACCTAGTTTGGGGTTGCTAAGACTTTAAAAAGTCACGATGAATCCAGAGGCTTTTCCCTTGCCCTCTCAAAAAGGCTACCAGAAACTATTTCTCCTTAAGTAGGTGGTAGGGATTTATTGAGATCACCCAGATTCTTGACTTGTTACCTGTAACCTTATGGTTTTGTATGAGCCCCAGGAAACCTCTTGTTTGGAAGCTCTGCTCTGGTTGGCAACTCTGAATGTCTCTGATTACTAAGCTTTCTCTAAGGGGTCGTGGACTTTCCATGCTTGTGCTTTTGGGGGATGTCACGAATAACAAAGGGGGCATTTTATCAGTAACATGATCTCATCCAAAGTGTTCAATTAACAGATAATCAATAATTAGAGCTCAGAGAGGTCAAGGCACTTGCCCAAGATCACACAGCAAGTCAGCGGCAGCACCTGTGAATTACCAAGCTAGGATGTCACTGCAGGGGAAGGGCTGGGGTTTGTTACAATGGGACAGGGCAGGTGCAGGTTAACTCTGCATTAAACTGCTATAATTTGGAGCCTGCACTTTGCAGGGCTAGCAGCTAACCAGTGCTGATATTCCCCCACTTTCCAGATTAGACAACTGAAGCACAGAGATTGCGTAACATGCCCGAGGTCACACAGGTGTGTATCTAGGACTAGAATCCAGGTCTCCTGAAACTTCAGCCAGTGCTCCTCCCTCCTCTAGCAAACCAGGTTGGCAGAACAAGACTAGGGCAGCTGCCTGACCTGCCCCTCTTGCCCAAGGATGCGCGGCCCCACAGCCCAGGGGTCCAGCCAGGACAACCTCCCACGTCCGGCAGCCTGACTCAGCACAGACAGTCGGAGCCCACTGGAGCTTACCTGTGTGCTGGATGGTCCCACGGCACGCCGGGGCACCTTGATGTCAAACCCGCCTTTGGGGTCCTTCTCCCCTCTCAAACACGGGTCATTGGGGGGCTCCCGGCCCCCCTCCCAGTCACAGATGGTTTTCCGTATTGCCTGCAGGACGCTGGGGAAGGAAGAACCAAGACTCAGGGCATTACCACTGAAAGGGGTGTGGCAAATCTGTCTGGAGTCAAGGTCTCTCGGGATCATGTGCTTTAGAAGTTGGTGAGCTTTGAACATATCACTGGGCCGCAACCTCAGGTGCTGGATTAACGGACTTGAGGTGCAGTCTGGAGTCTGCATTTTACAATTGCCTGAGCTGACACTCAGTCCTGAGCCTCCCTGGGGACAGCGAACCTGAGTGAGGAGGGATGCTGTTCTTCTTGGTGATCAGGAGTCTCGTTAGCCCAAGTAAGCATTGCTTTAAGTTTTAATAATAGTTTCTATATGTTGCATATTTATTCCCTGCTGCTGTATGCTTAGTCTACAGATTATTTCACTTCACCAAACCAGCAGCCCTGGAAATAAGTTCCAATTACTACAAACAAGGGAAACCGAGGCTGAGAGAAGGCAGATCACTTGACCAAGTTCACACAGCTGGACATATCCAGACACTGAGGCTTGGTCCATCTCAAATGTCCCACCTCCTAAGAAGGCCTCCTATAGAACCTGCCAGAAGGGTCTGCCTATGTGTTTCCCAAACTGGCTGAGCCAGGAACTTGTTCTATGGACCCCAGCACCCTGGTTTCAGAGGCACCCCTAAATGCAGCCAGCCAAGGACCCACCTTATGAGAACATTCTTCTTCTTTCGCACTGCCTGCCTCAGGGGCTCACGCAGAGTGGCCTGGGCAAAGTCTTGCAGGGCTGCGTAGATGGTGTTCCTGATGGCCTGGTTAAAGACACTCTCCATCCTGCCCATGAGCACTTGCAGCCCCTTGATCATGGCAATCACCTAGATGGCAGCACACAGCAAGGTCAGGCTCTGCTGCCTGCCAGTGCCCTCACCAGTCCCGACCAAGCAGCTGAGAGCCAAGGAGCAGTGGATGTAGGGGAGACGTTCACTCTGGCATGAGACTGCTCTCTTGCTGCTGACCAGCGAGCTTCAGCCAGTCCAAGGACCACATTTCAAGCAGCTCTCTGGCCTCTGGAGGCCCTTCTACAGAATTCACATGGGTAGCCGGTATCAAAGAGAAATTTTTGTTTACTATAAAAACTTTAAAAGGATGTTCTACCATCTCTGCTTTTGAAATATTTTGTCCGGTTGCTGCTGAATAAGGGATGGGGGAAGGGGAAAGCCTCTCTGTTCTATTGCCACCTATTTTCCCCTTAACTAACTTATCTGTCTGCAGGGTATGTACCCCTCCTCTGGGTGCCAGCCTTCCTGCAGTAATCACCCCTCCCCATCTTGAGGAACAGTGGTATGCATTTATGTAGCTGGTCTGCCTGATTCTCAGTGGGGAAGTCTCATGGGATAGGGGAGGAATAGGGTGTCTGGTGCTGGTCTTCAGGGGAAGCCACATCCTCCAGTCTATCTTTTCTAGCAACAAACCCATCAGTCCCATTTTCTAATGTCTAGATGGGTCATGAATTCAGAGGGGAAAGCAAGCACCAGTCAGATCTTTATCACCACGTTATCACCCCATCATGATGGGTTCAGCTTCACCCTCTGGCCCAGGTTTTAAATATTGCTGCTGCATAAATGAGGATCCCACCCCCCAAGGCACACGTGCACACCCAGTGCCTGGGCCTGGGCCTGGGCCCCTGGGGGCTGTCAAGATATTTTTGTTGAAAAGGAATAAATGAATGAATGAGCTAGGGGCTAGTAAGCCTTGTTCTTTCTTTAAACCTTAAAGGAAGGGAAAAAAAAAAAACTTCAAGGTAGGGGAAAGGGTGAGAACAGAGCTCAGGAATGAGGATTTGGAATCAACAGTAGGAAGGTTTTTTTGGAGAGAAACTTAAGTGCAGAGGGACAACTAGGAGAGCAGCTTTCAGGGCACAATGGACCAAAGAGGAACCTGGATCCCCGTGAAACTGTGGCACTGGCATACAGATGGACACATGGACCTATTGGAGAGACTCAGAGTCCTGAAATAAAGCCTTAGCTTAGTAACAATTGATTTTTGACAAGGGTAACAAGACCATCGAGCAGAGAAAGAATAACCTTTTCACATTTAGTGCTGAGGCCACTGGATATGCATGTACAAAGTAATGAAGTGGGACCTCTACCTCACATCATATACAGAAATGAACAGCAAGTGGCTCATGTCTAGTGTAAAAGCCAAACTGTAAAACTCTTAAAAACAACACAATAAATCTTGGATCAGGCAATGGTTTCTCAGATATAACCCCTTAAGTACAAGTAAACCACAGAAAAAACAAATGGGACTTGATTAAAGTGGAAAACTGCCTTTCGAAGATACTAAGAAGTAAAAAGACAATCCATGAAACAGAGAAAAATTTTGTAAATTATATGTCTAATGAGGGCCCTGTATGCAGAATACACAAAAACTCTTACACCTCAACAATATAAAGATAAATAAACTAAGAAAAAAATGAGCAGAGGATTTAAACCGACATTTCTCCAAGGCTGACATGTAGAGGGTTAATAAGCACAAGCACAGATGCTCTATATTGTTTGTTATCAGAACTATGTGAGCAAAAACCACAGGGACACACCCCCTCACTGACGACGAGCATATGAAGAAACTCGTACCTTGCTGGTGGAACTGAACAATGGTTCTGCCACTTGGGGAAATATTTGACAGGTCCTCACATTTTTTAAAGAGTTACTACGTGACCCATCAATTCTACTCCTTGGCTATGTTGCCAAGAGAAATGAAAACATTTTTACACAAAAACTTGTATGTGAATGTACATGTTGGCAGTATTCGTACTAGTCAAAAAGTATAAATAACACAGATGTTACCCATTTATGAATAAACAAGTAAGTGTGACATATGCAAGCAATGCACTACCATTTAACCATAAAGGTGGGAAGGATGGGCACAGGTTACAACATGGTGAGTCTTGAAAACATCACACTAAGTGAAAGAAATCAGTCACCAATCACTACATATGATATGTGTACATTTAAGTAGAATCTCCAGGATAGGGAACTCTATGGAGATAGAAAGTAGATTAGTAGCTGCCAGAGGCCGGGGGGTAGGGGTGGGGGTGGGGCTGGGGGATAAGGAAGGAATGGGAAATGATTGTTAATGGGTATACGGTTTTTTTGTAGGGGAGGGGGGAGCAAAATGTGGTAAAATTAGATGGTGCTAATGGTTTTATAACTCTAAATATACTAAAAATTACTGGACACTTAAAAGGATACATTTTAGGGTATAGGAATTATATCTCAATAAAGCTACCATTAAAAAAAATTCTACCAAGGGAAAAAAAAACAAGCAATCGGGGATTACAATAGAATCCAACTGAAACTAGAAGACAATGGAATAATACCTTCAACATTCTGGAAAATTCTTTAACAATTTATAATTCTATATCTAGTCAATCTATAAGTGGGGTGAGATGTCAAATGTTTTCAGACATTCAAGATCTTGATTTTCTTTCTCCCACAATCCCTTCCTCAGAAAGATACTGGAGGAGATAATCTCTCAGCCTAATGAGAGAGAGAGCTGAGGGCGCCAACTCAGAGAGAGGGATTCCCACCCCAAGGAAGGAGACATTCCAGCACCTGGACACCAGATTCTAGACATCAAGCAGTTCTGACTGTAATGAAGGGGAGAATACAATTACTGAGAAATGACTGCAACTGTCCATTTCATAAGCAGTTTTATATCCTGTGGGTACATCTAGGTTTGCCTTTTTGGTCAGTTTACAGAAAATGAAAGAGTTGGGGCTTTTTTCCTATCTCTTTTGACTTTTTGCTTTCCTTTTACCCATCTGCCCAATGGAGCGAATACTCTCCTTTGATGTCTAAGAACAGAGTAAGTTTCTAATCCTTTCTGAAAGAGAACTTTTGACAGAACGCAGGTGAGAGAGGGACAGGAAACTGTATCCGTGGTTCGCCACGCCTGAAACGTGGAGATCCACACCAAGCAGCAGGCTGGGGTGAGGAGACACAAGGGTCGGCACCCACCTCCACAAAGGCGAACTTTTCCTCACTGGTGTAGTTGTAGCGCGTGGCTCTCTCATACTCCTCAGCTGTGCCCGGGCAATCCTTGTTACAGAACTTGTCTGTGGGGTGCACCAGCTTCCAGGAGTACTGGGGAGAGAAAAGTTCCAATGTCCATCATGGGTGAATGGAGGAGCAAGACATGGTGAGTTCGGGCAGTGGGGCGGGGCTGGGTCATGCAGGGAATGAAGGAGAGATTCTCTGTCCTACAGGGACCAAGCTTGCAAAGAGGAAGCCCAAGAAGGCAGGCAGGCACCAAAGACCACACTATGGGGTCTTACACTTAAAGGAAATGTCCAGAATATGGAAATGTCCAGAGACCCAGAGCAGATGGCTCAGGGCCAGAGACAGGGAATAGGAGTGAGGTAATGAAAATATTCTAAATCCAACTTGGTTGCACAACTCAGTGAATACACCAAAAGCGAATGTATTTACATTTAAGTAGATGAGGGCTACAATACGTGAATCATACCTCACTAAAGCTGTTCAAAGGAAAGAGGGTTTCAGATCAGCTCACGGAGCTAAAACATATCTTTAAAGGATCCACCATCCCAAGAACCAGTCACTGGCTGCAATGCTCACAACACGGAAACTTACACAGACAAGGAATCACTGTTGAACAATAACCGGGGTGCAAGGCAGATTTAAATGAGTGCTGGGAAGGGTGGAGGCAGCCAGGTTCCGAGTGAGCAGGGAGGGCCCAGGGCCGGGCTACCTACCACTTCCATGACGTGGGCGCTCCACTTGGACAACAGCTGCAGGCCCCGCAGGGCGAGGTCGAAGAGCTCCCGGTACTCCTCATCCGACTTCTGGCTGTCCAGCCCAGAGCCCGTCACCACCTGAGGGACACAGGCTATGTCACTCTTACTGTCTCTGTGTGGCCACTGTATACATTAATTACACCATTGATTCCCCCAGAACACGACGGGAGGTACTGTTAGCATACCCAGACAGGTACACAGAGGCTCAGGCAGGGCCGCATGGCTTGTAGATGGTTGAGGCTTCCAATTCTAGAAGCAGAAGCCAGAGCCCCACTCACAGCTGCCCTGGTCTGTGGCTCCAACTCATGGCTGCAACTTACAGCAGGTTCTCCTTAGAGCCAGAGGCTCCAGAACACAGTCCCACCTCAGAACATAGGAAATAGCACTTTCCATGGAACACTTTTGCTCTCGATTCATGAAATTTCCTCTGACTTTCTATTGCTTACAAAAATGCTAACTATGGACCACTAAATAGATTTCACAACTCATTAATTTGAAATGATCCACTGACTGAAAAGCACTGGTGAAAACAAAGATTACTATTCCATGATGAGATAATGCATGTACACAGATGTATACACACATACATATGCACACATGTGCAGTCACCATGTGCACAGGCATGGCCATGTGTGTATACATGCATACAAGGCACAGACAGAGGTGCATTCATGCGTGCACGCGTTTTGTGTGCAATGTGCACATAGACACATACATGTGTACATGCACATGGCCACACATGTGTACACTCGTGTATGCTTCTGTGTGCACTAGCACAGATAAATGTGTATATGTGTATATACATACATATGTACACACAGATATACCAAGCCAGTCCTCATTATGTGCAGTGTGTAGTTATGAATTTGCCTGCTCACTAGAATTTATTTGTAGCCTGGAAATCAATACCCACAGTGCTTTTGAGCTCCCTGCACATGTGGTGCAGAGGCAAAAAGTCTGAGGCTAGTTCTCAAAGGAGGTCTAACAGGGGATGCATCTGCGTCCCCATTTCAGCTCCTGTCTGCAAACATGGGGCCTTTCTGTGGCCTATTTAGCACCTGCCACATTTTTCTGTTGGTGATCTCATGAATTAACACAGTCCCAAAGCCTAGTGCTGGTGCTCTGGCTCATGCCCTGTGTGTGCCTTATGGAGGACCATGTGTGTTAGATAAACTCCCTTCAGGCATGAGTCAGAGGGCTGCTGGCCATGAGCTAATGTTAACATATCAGCCAGAAGGTGTCTTTAAACAGAAACACATATAAACAAAGTTCTGTCTGACCAGCTGGTGAAGACACAGGGAAGGCTCGCTAAGCCGATCCTGTATTTCACTGGGAACAATGGTTCAGTATTCACTCAGTGTTCAAGGTCACTTTATAGACCACACCTACTGTGAATAACGAGAATCATCTGTACAGGCAAGTACAAGTGTATAATTTGAAAAGAAGTCTGAGCACAACTCATTCTCAGATCACACCCAAGTTTGACGAGGAATGAAAGCAGCCCCAGCACTTCAATTATCCCATGGCTGTTGCTAAGTGTGTTGGCACATATGACTAAGATAGTCCAAGGTCTGGGCTCAACCCTGGTCCATGCCTTCCAGTAGCTCACATAAGAATGCAAACCACTCTCTTGATGGCCACACCGACCACTGCATTTGCCTGCTTTCATTGTCTGACCTTCTTTATTGTAAATACCTTGAAGACACTTACAAGTTTGGCTTGGGAGAGTGTGAGCACTCTGGCTGCAGGCCACATGGTGGCGCCAGAGAGCACCTGTGTACCCCCAGGAAGGCATCAGATCAGGACCTGCACCTGTTACCCACTGCCTACGCCCCTTGGAAGGGCTTCCAGGGAAGCCAGCCAGAAGAACATACACACAAATATTAACCGTAGTAGGTTCTGGGTGGCGGGATTCCAGGTGACTGATTTCCCCTCCTTTTGCTTATCAGTTTTTCTGAGGTTTGTGTGTTAATCATGTTTCTGTATTTAAAAAAAAAAAAAAAAAGAAAAATTCAACGCCAGTAAAAATGTAACCAGTGGGATGACAGATCTGTACACTCCTTTTCTGCCTCTTAGTGTATTTTCTGACTCATTACAATGATCACTTATCATTGTAGAGTTTGATATTCTTTGATGTTGCTGTGAGCAGGAGGTGGTTGGGATCATGTACAGATAAGCCACCGCTGGGCCCTGACTACCTACCTGGCTCCTTTAGCCCTCTCAAGGAACCTCGCAGGAGCAGGTAGCTCTCCCATTGCAGAGGAGGAAACTGAGGCACAGAGATGTTGAACAACTCGTGCAGGTCAGTGGTAGAACCAGAATCACAGCCAGCTGGACCAGGCTCCAGGATCCCTGCTCCTGACCCTTCTGCCTTCCTGCCTGGGATGGGCCTTCCCTCACTCTGCTGTCCATCCTCCCTATGTTGGGCCACTTGGTTTCTAGATGATCCTTCCCCCTCCACCCTGGGGGGCTCCACGCGGCAGGAGCACTCACCTCACTGTTGCTGTAGCGTGCTAGTTCAGAGATGAAGCGGATGTGGTCGTCCCGGATCTGCACCATCTGCTCGCAGATGTTGTACTGGGGGCTGATGCTACTCTGCGTGCACGTCCACCTGGGTGGAGAGGCAGGGGTCGGAGTGGGGCCTGGCCTGGACACGGGGTGGGACAGGCTCGGTCCGCTCCCTAATGCTCCCGGTGTCCAGCCATTGGCAAGAGCGCCTGCTGTGTCCCACGGTGGGGAGCCCACGTGGCATGGAAGGACCTCCTCTCATCGTGGCTGGTCCAGACACCAGTGTCTACATACTTACCAGTCACCGGAGCCAGGAGGGACCTGAAGCCTTGCTAGGGCTACAGAGGGCTGGAGTTTGAGCAAAGGAAAAGCACGTGGGTGACTTTCAACCTGGGTACTGACTCACGGCACTGACACCTTGTGGTTGAAGCTGCAAGGGGTCTACAGGTTAACTTGGGACACCTAAAGGGACCCGATCTCTTTTCAACAGTGACTTGCAGGCCATGGAGAAGGGAGCCATGGTGTCCTGACAGGCATGGCTGGTTCCCTCTTCCCACCCTCATCTTCCTCCCCCTTTCTTTCTTCTTTGACCTCAACTCATTTGAAAGATAGCATTGAGGAAACTATCCTGGGTGCAGAGGAAATAAATGAAATCATCATTCTCCTTCCCCAAGAGAAAAATGGACCACCCCTCTGTCTTGTTCAGCCTTTGGTGCCCAGGCATGGACTCTGAACAAGGCAGAGCGATGTGTGGGAAGGAACTCAGTACTTCAAAAGGAGGCCTGATATGGTCCTCATCCCAACATTCAAAGTGGACAGAGCCAAACTTCCCCATCTGCACTCAGGCCTGATTTTGATTTTGAGTTGTTTGGGTAGGGATGGGAGCACAGTCACTCAAACCTGCCCTCCTGCCATGGTCACTTTACTCGGCCCTTAGGCTCTGCCCAGGTCACTTCTCTCAGCCCCCCACACCAGCCTGGGTCACCTCTCTCAGACCCCCACACCAGCCTGGGTCACCTCTCTCAGACCCCCATACCAGCCTGGGTCACCTCTCTCAGACCCCACACCAGCCTGGGTCACCTCTCTCAGATACCTGCAGCTGTCTGGGTCACCTAACTCAGATCCCTATACCAGCCCATATCACCTCACCAGCCTCTACTCTACTCCCTAATACTTCGGTTGGTAGAGGAGTCACACCAGGAAGGTGAGGAAGTGGGTTCAGCATCCTGTACTTTCCCTAGCAGGGAAAAGAGGCGAAGAAGAGACTTATTAACTCACTTTCCTTGGTGACTTGTGGCTAGTGGAGTTCAAGGACACTCGCTCACATATATTCAGACCATGGCACGGTCTGTGTGTAAAGGTCCTTTTTGCTCAGTGTGGAGAGAAGACCCCCTAAAAGCTCTGGAGATCCAAGGGTGGCCAAGGTCATGCCAGATGTGCCCATGCCACTGAGCACCTGACGCCCTACGACTCAGCACAGATGACCCAGAATGGCAACTTACAAAGTGGCCTAGGAGAAGCTGGGACCCACCGGGCACTGGACAGTCCCAATCCCACCCCGATGACTTACAGCAGGGGCACAAAGCCTCCAGGGACCCATCTCCCTCCACCTGGCCACTGCAGGCTGCCAGTCCTCCCTTCTCAAGGGAAGGGCTCTTGCTGTCCCCCTGTGGCCTGTGTCACTGCAGGGACAGAGAGGGGGTGCGGCCACACTCTGAGTGCTTTTGAACCCCAAAGGCAGCAAAGGGCAGGCACAAAAGCACTCAGAGCGGCCCCTGTATCCCCTCAGCCAGCCCAGCCGGGCTCAGCACTGGGGGTCACTGCCCAGGGCTCCGGAGAGGAAGGAGGGGCTGAAGTGGCCCCTCAGCCCCCTGCCCGGCCGGGCATCCTGGCGGGGGCCAAGAGACATTACGGCAGGCACTCACTTGGACTTGTTCTCTTCATAGTGAGCACTGGTCTTAATGTATCTGGCCAGCTCTATCTGCATGTCGCCGAAGAGGGGTACCACCTGCAGCTGCTGAAAAGAAGCAAACAGAGCATGTGAGATGCCAGGAGAGCAGGCCTGGGGGACCTTGGGGAGCCCCGGTTTCTGCTCCCAGTGATGGGACTCTGGAACCCCAAAGAGCCCCAGCCAGCATCCAGGTCCTCCCCTGCCTCCAACCCATCCTGAGTTCCAGCAACTGAGCCCAGAGAGGCATAGTGACTCGTCCAAGGGTACTGAGCACACAGAAGGGAGGAGGGATGAGGACCAGCTGGCCCACCTACCAGGGCAGGTCTTTGTGCTCTGGTTAGAGGGTCTTTGCGGCCTCCAAACCAGGGCCAGGAGCGAGCCTGGCTACTGTCAGTGGGGTGTGGCCACCCAAAGCAATTCCACCAGGGAAGAATAGACTCCCCACTAGAGTGGGGGCTGTAACTCCCCACTGGACACCAGGACAAAGGAAGGGGGTAATGGCACTTCAGAACCAGAGGATGGTGGACACAAATCACTTGACATTTGACATCCCAAACCAACAGAATGCAGAGCCAAGAGGGAGCCCCAGGGGAAATCACGTTCTTTGGGTGACCGTACACTAGGCTAATTGATCGCCACAGTTGCCCCACTCTGGTGGGGGTGTTGAAAGTGGGGGAGGTAGTGAACTGAGTGGGGGCAGGGGACACGTGGAAACTTCATGCTGCTTGGTTTTGTCATGAACCTAAAACTACTCTCAAAATCATCTCTTAAAACAAAAGCTGAATCCAAATCCCTATGATAACCCTGTGAGGTCAGTCTATGATCGTTCCCTTTTCATAGAGGAAGAGTTGAAGCTTAGTTTATTTCAGTGATTTTTTTTTCAGAGTCAGACCAGCTAGAAGTGAAACTTCTAGACCTTGATTCACCTAGCTGGCCCCACGGAATCCTTCCCGTGCATACTTGCAGGCTGGGGAACTCAGCTTCAGAGAGGGTGAGTGATTTTTCTGAAAGTTACCCAGCTATTGAGTGCAGAGCCTGATTCACACCCTAGCCCGCCAGAGACTGGCTGTGCCCTCTGCTCCACCCCATCCCTTCACACTGACTTAAGAGAGGGGCAGATTCTCCAAGGGTCTCCCCAAATGGACCCTGTTTTCCTTTGGGGCAGCACCAGAGAAACATGCAGATTCCAGTCTTGAAAAGAAGCCAAGACAAGTCATGGCTTGTCCTAACCTCCCGGGGTCAGTGGCACCCAGGCCATCCTGGTGCCCTCCATGCCAAGCTTTGCAGGGGCCCCTGCTCATGGTAAGCCTGCTCTGCCATGTCTGACCTCTGGATTCCACACCAGTCAATGTCAGAAGACCCTGACCACACGGAATGCAGGCCTAAGGATGAAGCCCTCTTGTGGAAACCTCAAAGGCTTAACTGAACCGCCAGCTTTTATTTTTAAAGATTTGGTACTAGAAACTCCAATCTCTGAGGCTGAGGGTGGAGCAGGAGGCTGTGTGTTTGTAGATATGAGCCAATTTAAATTCCTGCCTTGAAGCTTCCTATTCATGAGAGCTTTGATGTATGCTGAGCATTAAAATAGTCTCTCTGAAGATGGAGTGCCCTGCTCTCTTTGGATGGCAGGGGATTTCAGGCGAAGGGGAGGCAGGATACCCAAAGAACCATGAAGCCAACCTCCCAAAGTGAGTCTCAGTGCTGCCTGACTTCTGGGGACAGCTTACAACAGTGGCTCCTCTTCCACGGCAGGTGGAGGCCCCATGGCTCTGTCCCTCCTCCCATGGAGTCTTCAGAGGCGTAACTCAGGGCACAAGACCCTCGGTCTGGCTAGCAAATTTCATTTCCTTCCTCTTAGCCCTCTGCCCATTCCCAGCCCCAGGGGCTGACCTTAAAGAACTTATCAATTTTGCTGAGGTTGATTCTCTTCTTGGCGTCCAGTTTGTAAATGTTACTGACGTTTCCATCCATCAGGTAGAGACCAAAGCCCATGACCTAGAGAAGCCGGGAGCACAGAAGCCAGTCATGTCCATTGGAAAAGTTCTCCCAGAACAACAAAAGTAGGTCGGAGCTTAAGCATATACACATACACCAGCCCTGCAGTGGTACCTTCTATTACAAAAACCCACGTCTTTACATAAAGAAATGGCTGCATTCCCACTCAATGGGCTACTTAGCAGTCATTAAAAATCACTTTGCAGAAATACTCCTAAGGACAACTGGAAAGGTGGATATGACCTAGTCAAGAAAGAAAAATAAGCTAGTGTAGTGAAATATGTATCAATGTTCAAGTAAGAAAAAAATAAATACAGTTGGGGCCAGGGTATAATACCTACCCCAACCCCACTGAAGAGGCAAACTGCTCCTTGGGTGGTGATTGTACCCACTTTAAGTGGGTACTGGCAATTCTGGCACTAAGGGACTAGTGACCAGAGGTGGCTACAAACCCTGACATAAGTGATCTGGGGTTAATTTGATGCTTATGATTTAATTCTGCATCTTTGCACCTGCTGACATTTCTCTCAACTGCATATCGTGCCAGAAGTGTTTGCAGATAGGAGCAAGTGTTTGTGAATGTGGGTAAATTTTCACTTTTTGATAATAGATTTATGTGTGTTTTATGATCCAATAGTCTATGGTCTACACATATCTTAAACATCATGGCAGGACTTTTTCTCCATTTTTCCGTATTTCTAGGCTACATGGTTCATTGGTGATTTTCCAAATTGTCAAAAAGTTAAAAAACAAAATTTCTAATATACTTGTTGAAAAATACCACATATAAGTGGCCCTACACAGTTCAAAGCCCTGCTATTCAAGGGTCAACTGTATTGTTTTTTTTAAAGTGATTCTAAATGAGAAGGTGAGAGTGCAGGTCAGGCCTGGAGTATGTGGCTGAGGCGTGTGGCTGCTGGGGTGTGTGTCTGGTGGGGAGGCGTACCTTAAGGAGCATGTGCTTCTCACTGGGGGTCAGGTACATCTTGTTCTCATAGTAATCCACACAGATGTTGACGATGTCGGCCAGCAGCTCCTCGTAGCCGGGGATAACTTCCAGTTGCTGATGGAGACACTAAACCACAGCATCCCCTCTGGTGAGTCTCCTCCTCAGCCCCCCACCCACAACCCCCAGCTCAGGATGACAGTGTGTACCCCACTGGTCACCCCAGATAGAGGGAGGGCTGCATCCTCTTCTCAGGGTCCCCAGGGTTAGCCTGAGTCCTCTGGGGGCCTCATTCCATTTCCTGGCAGTTCTGATGATTGGAAAGAGGTTTCCTGGGCTGAGTGGAAAAGCAGTTCAGCTTCACAGAAACAGCCCTGCAGTAATCTTTGCGATGTTTGGAGGGTGTTGATTTATCTATTTCTAAGTCACATTTGGTGATGGCAGGGAGTCTCAGCCCGAGGGGAAGAGAGTTGTGCCACCTGGCAATTCAGAAGCACTTCCCTTCATCAGTTTGTCTCCGAAGAGACAAAGGTTCCTCCCACTACTGAAAGTAGAATATTCCTATTTGGTATCATTTGATTTTTTTTTTGGGGGGGGGTGTCTTAGAAGGCTATTACCAATAATTTATACGGATAAATTTTTTGAACATCTCCAGACCCAAATGATAACTTCCCAAATCATACCACAGCGGAAAAATTAACTTGTAGAAAGTGGGGAAACAAGCATCCTGTGTAGGACATGGTAGGTGAATCTCGAGGAAGAACCTAGAACCTCTGTGCCCGGTGGCCTCCTTAGTCAACAAAAAGCAGCAAGGCTGACAGCTGAACCAGAAAATCCCATGAAGATCTCTATCCCGTGAAGATCGCCCCTCTCAATTTTGGCTTGGGCCCTGCTGACACTCTAGCTGGTGCCTGCTCAGGCTGAGCTGACAGCTGAGCAGGACAGACCACAGCAGTCAGGGAGAAGATGCGTGCCACAGCTAGGCAGGGAACCCTGCCCAGCAGAGGTACTAGCATACTCTTCTTACACACTTACACCTGTCAGCTCTGCAGAATAAAAGCCTGTTACAGAGTATCTCATGGCTTTCTCACAGAGTCTAAGAGACAGAGTCTTACAACAGTTGCAAAATAACAGCCCACTTCACAGATGAAGAAACTGAGGCTTAAACCTTGCCCAGGCCACAGTGGGTGGGTAGGATTAGATACAAGGCTGTCTAGTGCCCACCAGACCCCATGCTACACTTGTAAGGAAGGGGCAGAATGCTGGCTGAGAGGCTCAGGGTATAGCAGAGGGAGCTGGTGAGGGTGAGGGGTCATCTGCTGGGAGGGGAAACCCACTTGCAGCATCAAGCTGACACAGGGGGCAGGGAAGAACAGCAGATCTGGATGCTGCTCTCAAGCCCCTGCCCCCGGGCCCCGGCACCAGGCCAGCGCGAGCCTTCACCTGGGTGATTCTGTTGTGGTTTGCCAAGAACATGGACAGGTTCTGTGACTCCTGGATGGACTGGGGATCCGCCATCTTCCTCAGGAACTGTGCTGCCCTGGAACACAGGGTTGTGGAGAGAGGGACTCAGGTGAGCCAGCCCCACCATGCCTCGCAGCCCTGCCACCCTGCACCTGGAGTCATATTGCCCTCAGGTCAGGTGATCTGGATATCACAGTGACTCAAATGTCAGGGAGGGTGTGCTCTGGGTTTGCTTGGTTTGGGGCTAGTATACCTGCATTAGGGCACATGAAATAAAGAGGCAAGAATATACTGGCAATTTCTAGAGCTCAAATCCAGAAAGTCAAGGTGGCCAGCATGCCATTACACAGCGAGATGTGGCGACAGTGCAACAGGCACCCTGTGTCTTGCAGTGACCAGCAGTGAGTATCACAGCAGAGCTGCAGGCAGGACTCTGGGTTGTGCATTTTTCACTTACAGACAAGCCCCAAGTGTCCAAAGCAAAACACTGTACAGAAAACCGAAGCCTCTACCACCTAACAGAACCACAGAAGAAGGGACATGGGCATGGGGACTTAAGAGGACAAAATCCCAGTACAGGCTTGTCAAAGCTGAGCTGGTGCGGGCAGCCTTGTCTTGAAGGATGAAGGCCCATAGGCCAGACCCTGCTTGCTGAGCATGCTGTGTGGGGCCATGATGGACGGGCCCCCACACTGGGGAGGATAGGAGACATGCTACTGTGAGCAGGGTGTGCAATCTATGCAAGTTTCCAGACTGGAGACAGGCACCCCCGGTATATGGATTCACTTGGGGATAAGGTGTGAGTGCCCATCTGTCTTCTGTTCTCTCCACTCACTGACAGCCCCAGGAGGAGGTGCCCAAGAAGGGCCACTTCATCAGGACCTTGAAACCCCTTCTCAAGAGATTGTCCACACATGTGGGCTCATCTGGGCCAAAACCATAGGGTGATTGCTACTCTGAGCACCCCCTTTAGGCACTTGTGCCTAATTTCTGGAAAGAAATGACCCCCTCTATACTCTGTCCTTTCTCATGAGCTGACACCATGATGCTAATGGTGATCACGGCCCAGTCAAAGTCCTTACTCCACCCTGGTGGGACACTGACAGGGGCATTCCACCCACACAGAGCAGCTTGAACCTCCCTGGGAGTCTGCAAAAGAGGGTGCAGGGAGGACATCCTCCTCCTGTGGAAGTTGGGGTGCAATGGAGGGGAACAATCAGGTGGGGAGGTCACAGAGGGCACCAGCCACTCCCCCCTACTACTGACAGTATCACCAGCACCTGCACCCATGTACCCAGGCCTGTCAGTGCAGGGAGCCAAGCCTGTTCCTCCTTTTACAGCAGTTTAAACTGGCTGATTCTCTGGCGGACGATCACGTGACCACTGCAGCTTATCATACTGGTCCTACAGGCACAGACAGCAGACACGGGCCACTCCACAGTGGGGAGATGAGAGACGAGGACTTGCTTCCATCATGAGACAGAAAACCCTGCAAAGATCCAGATCTCCAAAGACGCAGCCCTGTACCTGTTCCTCAAGCCCTCAACCCAGCTAGACCTGGGGATGGTTGGTTTGGTTCTGGAGGAGCCTGTGAGAAGGGCTATCTATGTCTTCTTCCTCACTGGGCCCTTACGCAGGAAGACAAGGGACTGGATGGGGGGCTCAGCTGGAGAAAGAGGTAACAGGATAGGAGAGGGGTGGTGGCTCACGGGTAAGGCAGTCCCAGTGCAAGGAAGCAGGGGTCAGTTGGTAGCTCATAGAGAGGGGGGCCCCACTGGGGAAGGAGGGTGGGCTGGGAGCTGGGGCAGGGCCTGACCTCTTGTAGGCAGAGTGGTCATTCTTGACGCTGCACTTCATGTTCTTCAGCTCGTCCAGGACAGCGAACATGTTGATGAACTTGCCCAAGGTCAGCAGGTAGGCCTCGGACACAAAGTCCTTCCTGCGCTCGGCATGGCACAGTCGCTTCACCTCGCTGCAGAAGCGCTCGATGGCCTTGCGCTGCGGGCAGGCCAGAGATGGGTGAGGCCTGAGGGTCCCAGGGGACAGGGTTCGGGCAACCCGGGATTTGAATCAGAGCTCCACGTTTAGAGGAGGTGAAGGGGCCAGAAGGCCTTTCTCCCCTCTCCTGCCCCGAACACTCACCTAGGTGCACCAGTGTGTAAAGTACCTGGAGGGAGGGACCATCGGTCTTCTCACCCAGGGTATGTGGACACTCAAAACACACTTGACCTGTCCCAGAAATCCTGACCCCTGCATCCTGAAGAGTGGGGGCCTTTTCCAGTGTCCTGACCCGACCAGCCCTGCCCCTCACCTGGAAGTACATGAACTTCATGAGCTTGGTGACCTCAGGCTCCAGCACCTCCACTGTCTTCTCATAGATCTCCACACGGTTGGGCTGCTCATTGCACTTGACCTGTAGGGAGGGGCTTTCAGAGTCCTGGTTTGCCAGGCAGTCCTGGCCCATACCTGCTTTCTCATAAATACGGCCTGTTACGTTCTCCAATGCACCTCACCTAGGACGAGATGTGACGTGGTGACCCCAGGGAAAGGAGGTGGGGTGCTGGCTGGGTCTGAACAGGAAGGGCAGGGTCCCCAGAACAGAACGTCCTCACTTCCTCTGCTCTGTGTCCTGACTGTAGCAACGCCCCTCGAGCAAGGTCTCCCTACTTCAGTCTTCCTGCCCGTACCTGGTGGGGCCCCTCCAGACACTAAGTGGAGGAAAACACTCTGTCCACTGCTCTGGAGGGGTCTAGGCAAAGCGCCCGGCCTCACTTGGGCCAACACAGGCCAACGTGAGATGCACCTGCCAGAAGCTGACCCCCGCCCCACAGTGGTGTGAACATTGGAACAACATCTGGCTGGATTGGCCAACCGGGAAAGGGTGAGGAAGGGAAGCACAAGGACATTCTTGACCCTGATGTTTAGAGAGTCATAAGAGCGGCAGCAAGAAGCTAGACACCCCGGGGTCCATGAGGACAGAGGTGTTGTGAAATGTGGTGCAGCCACACGGTATCAGCACGTGTCTGTTAGAAGTGTGAGATGGAGCAATGTGAGCAGATGTGAACAGGGTGGCCGCAAACTGACCAAGCTGCAAGGAAGTACGTGCAGTTCCATCCCATGAAACTCTGTGTGTGTGTGTGTGTGTGTGTGTGTGTGTCCATCTATAATATAGGTATAGAAAGCATGGGTACAAAACAAACCATTACTAGCAGTTACCACCAGGGACTCTAATCAGAGGCAGGCAGAGGCATAGTCTGTGTTTATACACCTGTGACTTGTAGAATCTGTTACACAAGGGGGCCCATTAATTATATGCTGATGATCATGATGGTGAAAATAGTATCTGTACGTGTCAACAGGAAAAAGTCAGTAATGAAGAATTAAATGGAGAGGAAAAAAGCAAGAGGTAGAACAGTATAAATAAGAAATGGTGTACTTTTGTTAAGTGATAATAATTTACCAAATAATGGTCATTGTTTGAGGAAAAAGATCTCGAAGAGCAAGCAGCAGTGTGTATGGTGGTTAGGCTTTGGCAGGAGGTGGGTTTGGGGGCGGTGGTGTTAAGGTTTGGGGGTGGTGGTGTTGAGGGATGATGTCTTGCTTTTTTATTTTCTACCTCTCTGTGATGGTCTGGGTGCTGTGCTATTGTGTTAGGCAGGAGACTGGGGAGTGAGGCTCAGGAAATTCCTTGATACTGGGCACTAAATTGGGCTGAGGCCAAGTCATTACAAAGTAGAAGTGGCATTTTCTCCCCTGGAGATGCCAGACCAGCTGATAGCTTTGATAGAGACTGTCCCTGTCTCTAAGAAGAGACCCCCTCCCCAATATATACTTTATTTTTTAAAGGTTTATTTATTTATTCATACAAGAACTGATGGACAGGGGTGCAGGAGGCTAGAGGTACAGGGGGCAAGAGGATTCACCAGAGACAGAGTGGGGAGCAGATGAGGTGGATTGACTGAAATACACTGCTGAGGGGAGCAGCGGGCGAGACAAGATAGGCCTGCTGCCATGTGGGTCACATCCCTGGCCGGGAGGTGAACTCATGCTGCAGTAGCTTCAGATTGCTTCATAGTGCTGATGCTTAACCCCTTGCGCTACCAGGGGGGCCCAACCCAATACATACTGTAGATGAAAAAAAGTTTTCACCACTAACAAATCCTCTAGGTTAAAAACCCTGTAGGCTAATGACATGGATTCATCATGAAGAGGTCACAGACATGAGGAGATCATGACTTTGGGAAATGGAGTGACCTCATGGAAGGAAGAGCAGAGAAGGGACCCAGCCTTAGAGAAATGCTGGGTTAAAACTGCTTAAATAAAGCCTCCCCCTGTTTCTCGGGGAGCAGCCTATGGTGTCCCTGATGCTGACTCCCTTATGCTGAATTGCAGAGGCTGGAACAAATTCTTGCTTGGCATCTGCAGGATTAGAGTTATTGTTTTTATTTCTCAGAGAACTCAAGAACCCAGACTCCAGTAACACTGTTAACACGCACCTTTTGAAATAACATAAATTGTGCAAGTAATTTTTAAGTCATGGTCAGTGTTACAGGAAGTTCTTGAATGTCTCAGCATCCGCCTTGAATAAGAGGTCTTGCTTTACTCCCCTCTGTGGCAGCAGCTTAGCTCTGGGTGGGGGTGGGGTGGAGGGTGGTAGGGCCCCCTGGAGGACAGGCATTATGGGGAAGGAAGCACAGGCTCACCTGGGGGATGGCTCGGGAACAGCTGCGCCAGGTGTACAGCATGACCGCGTACTCATGTCCTTCCTCCAGCATTTCGTTCTGAAAAGCAAAACACACTCAACAGTCTTTCTCAACAAACCCCCAAATCCTCAGGACTCCTCAGGGACCAGCAGCCTCCAGCATCGCCTGGGGGACTTAATTGCAGAGTCTCTAAAAAACTAAAAATGGATATACAAGATGCGCCAGCAACCTCCCTCTGAGGCATCGATCTGAAGAACACGAAGCCATCAACTCAAAAAATTACAAGCTCAACATAGTTTCTTGCACGTTATTTACAGTAGCTGGGACATGGAAGCAGCCTAAGTGCCCACTGACAGGACTGGATCAAGAAGATGTGGTCTATCCACACCATGGAATGCTATTCAGCCATAGGGAAAGACGAAATGTTGCCATTCACAGCAAAATGGAAGGAGCAAGACAAATTTTGGGTAATTTCACATATATGAATTAAAAATGCATATGAACAGGTGAAATGAAGCAATTACAAACTAGTGGACACTGATAACCAAAGTGAGGTATCTGAGGTTACGGTGGGGGGAGAAATTCTCCACACAGACATCTGTCAAATGACAATGATGGTAACAACAAAGAATTTTATGAACATTTAATTAAATACACACACACACGCATGCACACACATGCACACATGCATACACACACAATGCTGAGTAACCCATAAAGCGAGTTAAGAGGATAACTAGGTAAAGGTGGCCTGGCAGTTTCTCCAAAGGTTAACACAGAATTACTGTAAGAGCCAGCAATTGCACTCCTAGATATAAACCTGAGAGAAATGAAAACAAATCCATGCAGAAACTTGCTCTTTGTTATAGCAGCATTATTTGTAGGAGTCAAAGAGGGAGAATGCGGAGGAAAAGAAAGTGCAAAATCTTAGCTCCCTTCCTATGCTGTGGAATGGGAATCTGCACTTCAATAAAATCCCCTGGAGACTTGCACTCCCAGTTGCACGAAAGTCTGAGAAGCACTAGCTTACACCCAAGGGCTCCGCCAACAGGCACGCTGTTCAAACAGGAGGATGGCTGCCTTAGAAAGGAGGCAGATCTATTTGTTCCCACAGCAAAAAGTGTCCCAGATTGACTCTTGGCAAGAAAATAAGCAAGTAGTAAAAGACCGTGCACAGCAGAGAGGCTACTAAACCCCACCAAGCGCACTGGTGATGAAAGTATGTTACTGTGTGTTGAAAAGCACTGGGAGGGCTGCTCACCTGGCTGTGGACAGCAATGTCTCCGTGGAGGTACCGGGGGCTTCACCTTGTCTGTCCTATAACCCGATCGACCATGTTTGCATTTTTCCACACGCCCATGTTACTATTCCATAAGCATGAAAATGACTAAGATCAACTTTTAAAAATAACATGGAGCAGATGGCAAAGCCCACAGCAGCATGAACATGAACGTGGATCCGAACGGTGCAGTGATGACTCACGTCACCCGCTCAGTGGGCTGTGGAAAGAGCCCCCACTCGGGGCCAAATACCTGGGCTCCAAGCCCTTTTCAGCACTTTGTAGCCCCTCGTCCTTCAGTAAATCACTTAACCTAAAATTCTCCACGCAGACATCTGTCAAATGACAATGATGGTAACAACAAAGAATTTTATGAACATTTAATTAAACACACACACATGCACGTACACATGCACACACACACAATGCTGAGTAACCCATAAAGTTAGTTAAGAGGATAACTAGGTAAAGGTGGCCTGACAGTTTCTGAAAATGTTAACACAGAATTACTGTTACCGGCAACTGCACTCCTAGATACAAACCTGAGAGAAATGATAACAAATCCATGCAGAAACTTGCTCTTAGTTATAGCAGCATTAATTTGTAAGGAGTCAAAAAGGGGAAAGAGCCCCAATATCCAGGAGCTGATGGATAAATGAAGTGGCCGTGCACATGCTGGGAGGGCATTCCTCCAGAAAGGGGATGGCGTGCCGGCCCTGCTGCCATGTGGACGGACCTTGAAAATGAAGTGATGAACAGAAGAAGCCAGAAAAACAGGCCACCTGTCACATGGCCCGTTGAGATGAAATGTCCAGAACAGAAATCTGAAGAAACTGAGGGTGGATTAGTGTTTTCCAGGAAGCAAGGGAAGAGAGGTGCTGCTGAGAAATCCCTGCCAATGAATTTGGGGTTGATTTTTGTGATGAAAGTGAGACATCGGGTGATTATATAACATTGTGAATATATTAACAAAACCCAGAATTGCAGCCTTTAAATGGTAAAATTTATGTTATGTGAAACATACATAAAAAAATACAAGAATAAATAGACCATCTCTTCTTGTGAACGTTTGTATTGATTTAAAAATGAACCTGTGCTGGCTGATTTTTACTTTCAAGCATACTATTTCCTAATGTCTTTCTAACACAAGACCTGATTTAATCTGGAGATTATTACTTTTTATAGTTTTGTTTTCAACAGCAAAGATCACTGACAAGACATTTTCCACTTTTAATTTATACAACTTTTAAATTTTTTTTCTTTTTTTTAAGATTTTTTTCTATATTCCCCATAAAATTACACCCCCCTTATTTTGACCCCAATCCCTCCTCTCCCTGCCACCCCCCTATAATGTGTCTCTGGTTTATAGTTGCTTTTTGATTTTTATTTTTTCTTTATTATAGTTATTCTTTTTCCTGGTCCCTTCTTAAGGTTTTCTAGATTCCTGCTATGAGTGAGACCATCTGGTATTTTTCTTTTTCTTTCTGGCTTATTTCGCTGAGCATGATCCCTTCCATCTCCATTCATGTTGCTGCAAATTGCATGAGTTTATCTTTTTTGATTGCTGAGTAATATTCCATTGTGTATCTATTAATTTAGAGAACTTTTGAAATCATGAACATGCTACCCTAGAGAGCTAACCTGTGAGTCTCCATTCTCAGTTGCTTCAGGACACATGTCAAAAAAGAAAAGTGACAGAGGCGCAGGGCACACATGTATACTGATCAGTGAATGTCCCCGAGGAGGTGTGAGTACTGCCCCTCTCATCAGTGAGGGTTTACTGAGTAGGCAGATTTCTGTGCTAGGAGCTAGGACAGGGCAGAGGAGAAAATGTGTAGACAGCCCAGCTGGCCACCACCCATGTTTGTGTCTGATAATACCTGGAAGAGAGCAGTCAGGAGGGGGTGGTGGCAAGAAACCTGGTGATTTGAGTTCTGGTCCTGGCTCTTTTTGGAGCCACCTTTTAACTTAAAACATCAGGTTTCTTGTTTGGAGGCCAAGAGTTCTAAATCAATGTTCTAAATCAATGGTCCTCAACCCTGAAGGCATATGAAATTTGAAAAATTTGAAAACTTACAGGCCCTAGGCTGGGCCCTAGCAGAACAACATCACCTTCCCCGGGGAGGGACCCAAGCAGTGTGGGTTGGGATGTTCTTCAGGGGATTCTGATGTGCAGCCACGGACGGAGCTAGGAGCTAAGACTTTGCAAGTTTAGGACTCCAACCCAACATAAGCCCAGCTTCAATTTCATAGCTGCCAGTGACAGATGGTATCTCAGCAAACTTTGCAAACTCAGCCTCCGTCTCACCCCTAGCAAAGAGCCCTCGGCTGTTCCACATACTTAGTCAAATGCTTGTTTTCTGCATTTTCTCCTTCTCTTTTCTCTGCCCATCTGTCTTTTGGGAGATTCACCTTGTCCAAGGGGTGGACAGGAAAAACACATGAAGCTGAACATCTAACAATGCCACTTGGCTGTTGCAAAGAGACTCTAGAAAAAGATTTAGTCAGGTACGAGGTGGAAATGGTGAGTGAAATGAAGCTTGTTTTTCTTTGGGAGACCTTATCCCTGAATGTTAATAGGACAGCATTTCCTGCGCCAACACCACTCCTGATCCCCAGAACCTGTGAATGTAACAGCCTATGCAGCAAAAGGGACTTAGCTAACTTGAGGAGGCTCCTAATGACCCTACTAACTACCCTTATTCCTGCACTAGCTGGTGGGTCCAATGTGATGACAAGGGTCCCCAGAAAGAGGGGACAGGAGTTTCACAGAAGGAGATGCTAGGAAGGAGCAAGACTTGGAGCCACATGATTGCTGGCTGGAAGGGTAATCTGAGCCACTGAATGTGGCAGCCTCTTGAAACTGGGAAAAGGAAGGAAACCAATTCTCCTCCGTGGACCAAGAGAGGGATGCATCCTGCCAACACCTTGGTTTTAACCCTGTGAGTCCCATGTCAGATTCTCATTGAAAGAACTGTAATCAAATACTTCTGTATTATCTTAAGCCAATAATTTGTGATCCTCTCTTACAGTAGCAGTAGAAAATTAATGCAATCACCCCTCTAAACCAGCTCCACGACTGACTCCTCTGTGGGCGTCCCTGAGCTGGTGTTCCAGGAACCCATAGTCAGTGCAGTTTCTGTGGCATCTGCTTCAGCCCCAAGCTGATGGCTGAGCCAGGGCATTAACCTCCAGGTTCTCTCATACAGTTTGTCCTGCTATCCCGAAGTAGAACATTTTCGATTTGGTATGATTTGGTAGATTAATTTGGGGGTCTGGGAGCACTCCACATGTCTAAATACAAGATAATAGTGTTCTCAGACCCCAAAATAACCTGCTGGTTCATAACAAAAAGGAACAGTCTACTTTTGGATAGTGGAGGAAGCCTGTATGCATACCCATTTAGCCTTCATTCAGTTTTTTATTCCTCCGCTGTAAATAACTAATGGTCTTGCCCTATTCATTCACCTCGTTTCAATTTATTCTGCACATAACCTCATTCTACACATAACTGAGAAATGAAACATATTCCCCAAGCGGAGCTCTGTTTAAATCTCTTCCCTGCTTTAACATTTTCCATTCTTTCCAATTTTTTGATTAAATGAATGAAAGCCCTCTGCTGGAACTGAACTGTTTCCTCTTCCCCATGTGCATGTGTGGAAGCCTTGACCCTCCCAGTCCCTCAGAATGTGACTGTCATTTGGAGAGAGGGTGTTTAAAGAGGTGACTAAGTTATAACAAGGCCCCTAGGTGGGCCTCCCCCACTTGGAGCAGTTTTCTAAGAAGAGGAAATCTGGACCCACAGAGACACTGAGAACATGAAGAGAAAAGAGCATGTGAGGACATCTGCAAGCTACATAGAGGCCTCAGCAGACGCCAGAGCTGCTGATACCTTGATCTTGAACTCCCAGTCTCTTGAGCTGGGAGAAAATAAATTTGTTATTTAAGCCACCTGGTCTGTGTTATTTTGTTATGGCAGTTTGAGCCAACTAACACACACCCCATGTGCATGGAGGTTTACCTAATCTTCCATAAATCCACAGACAATTTCCCTGTGTGTGCCTTATTGTCCAAACCCATAGGCTCCCTGAACATTTCTGCATTCATGCCTTTGCTCATGCTGGCTCCCCAGCTGATCTGTCTCCCTATCTCAACACTGACAGGCAAATCCTAATTCTGTGAAAAGGCAAGTACAGTGGAGAGAGACCAGCGCTGGGAATCAAAAGCCCCAGATTCCAGGCTCTACCAGTGATTTGCCGGTGGTAGGATCATGAGTAACTTTGCTATGAACCTCTCCTGATCTCATTTTTTCCATCCCTAAAGTGGGTATAATATTTATAAGTTGCAGGGCTATTATTGTAAGGCTCCATTGAGATCATGAATGAGAATACCTTCCATATTTTAAAGTACCATATATGTGGTTATACTGGGTACACACACACACACACACACACACACACACACACACACACACACACACTATAAAGCACTATGTTTATAGTATATCTATGACAGTGTCACTCTCCAACGAGGCCTCTCAAATGCCATTTCCTTCATCCAGCTTTCTCTGACCCTTTCAAGGCCCCTGAACCTTGACCTTCTATGACATTTACCCTAAACTTTGTGCATTTTCATCTGTCTGCAGGGTATTGTCTAGGTTTGTAGTCAGAGACAGCTGGCTTTAGATCCATTGCTGTTTGGCAGCAGGTCTCTTGAGTGAGTTGTCTGGCTTCATTTCCCCATCTGTAAAATGGGTATTGTAACAGCCTGTCTCACAGGGTTGGAGTGAGGATTTATAGAGACAGTGCATTCAGAACACCTGCACACAAGTGTCAGTAAATGGGCAGCTTGTCTATTTCCCATGGCTCAGTGAGACTCGACACTTTCTTTGTCCTGGCACACCTGCCCATTGCTCAGCACAGTGTCTGCAGGTGCCAAAGCATGAACACTCTGGGTACCATAAGCCAGGTTTTAGAACATAACAGAGGGGAGACAGGCCCAATAAGGCATGGGCAGAGGCTGTGAAGGAGGAATCTGGATTGTTCAAATGTTAGCTTTGTGTGAGAATAAAGTGAAGGAAGGGGATGTTCCCTCCCAGATGGTCAGACACCTGACCCCAGAGACACTGAACCCACCTATGAAGGATCTAGGCCATCAGGTCCCTCAAGTTGAGAATGTGTTATTCCAAAGCTTTGTCCCTTTTTTGAGAAACTTTTTGCTTTGCCCAAGAGACAAAAGTTCATAGCTAATCATTGATAAAGGACAAGACAGGGCAGGCTCTAACCCAGAAAGCTATCCACACTTGGAGTGTGGATAAAGCTGGGCTGGAAGGTGAGTGGGATTTACAAAGCTGGAAGGTAGAGGAATAGCATGCCCCGAGGCACAGAGAGGGCCAGGGCCAGGCATGGACAGCTGAGGAGATGGGTTCAACTGCAGCAAAGGTTCTCGGAAGAGCTGAGGACAAGTCCTTGCAGGCAGGTGAGGGGGTGGGGAGGGGGATGCTGCCCTCAGCCTCTCCAGCCCAGCAGGGTCCCAGGAACTTACCATGCTGGAGTGCACCGTGGCCTGCTCGATGTACCTTGCGATGCCCGTGACAAAGGCATTCCTATCCTCGAAGTTGGTGTCAAAGTTCGCCTGTGGGAATTACAGGACAGGACCATTTGCTGGTGAAATGGGTCCAAGGTGGCTGAGTGTCCAGCAAACTACAAATGCCTCCAGGTCTCTGTGGAAACCTGTCTCCATCCCAGCCCCTCATCTTCCCACCAAGACCCCAATGGGATTGGCATTGGGCCTGCATCTGTTTCCTGTAGTAGCTGATGGGGACCCCAGAGGAACCTTGGAGCAGAGACTGAAATAATGCAGCCAAAATACAACAGCTGTCAAAAATTAGGGTGCACATTGCCTTCTGACAGCAGCTGCAAAAACGCTCACCTGAGGGTGGAGACACACATACAAGGATAATAACCGCAGTGTTCTTTATGCTAGAAAAAACTGGAAATTGCCCAAATGTCCATTAACAGTTAAAAGATAAATAAATAGGGCCTCCCCAGTGGTGCAGTGGTTGAGCGCCACGCTGTGAAGCTGTCTGCAGCCTCTGCAGCGCCGGTTTGATTCCCCGCTGGCCAGGGAGAACCCCGCAAGGCGGAGAAGACCTCTCCTGCCTTGCCCGCTGCGCCCCTCAGCAGTGTCTTCAGTCCGTCTGCCTGTTCTGCTCCACGCTCTGGCTCTGGTGAATTCTCTCACCCTTCTGCGCTTCTGACCTGTATCCCAGTTCTTGTATAAAATAAAATAAATAAATCTTTTAAAAAAAGATAAATAAATAATAATATAACTATACACTGGACTTAAAGTACTATGTGGTAGTAGAAACATAATAAAAATGTAGCCTTGTAGCATCATCAGGGAAAATGATCCATAATAAATTTTGCATTAAAAAAAGCCAAAACACTGAGAGCACTAAATAGAATTCTTTTTGAAAAATGCATATATGCAAATACATATATATAAATTAATTAATTCAAAGGGTGTGTTTCTACATATGTGCATATACATACATAGTAACTGGGAAATTTTTTTGTGCTATACTTTCCTATATTGCTTGCAATGCCAAAAGATATTTACATCATTAAAAATTGAATCTGGGTTAAAAAATGTGACTAAACCAAGTTTATGAGTTCAACCTTCAAGGTATATGCTTAATAATCTAATCATTAAAAAATTAAAAATATATTATGTAGTTCTCTTTAGTCTCACTTAGCAGTCCAAGAACTTTTGAAAGGTCAAACACACTAAACAACATTGCCAGGCTTTCCCTGACCAGGAGGTGTTTGCACGGTGGACTCCGTGGCTCTGACACCCTGGTGGGAGCTGGTGCACAGAAATCCAATCTGCTTCTCAGGATCTTGTCTCTCTTCTCTCGAGCAAAAAACAAAAAAGCATGGCTGGCTCCCTGAACCATCCGCGGCTGTGGGGTGTTAAGTGCTCTTCTCACATACATGAAGGGAAAGTAATTACCCAGGCAGGCTCTAGGGGTTTCTAAATGGCAATATTTAATTCATGAGGTCAAGGGTGCCAAGACCTGGGTCAGTGCTGCAGCAAGAACAGCCAGGATGGTATTTGGGGTCAGGATGGAGCAACACGCCTTCCCTGGGGAAGGGACACAGCCTGTGCATGCTGACTAGCTAATCCTGCCGACTCTCAGCTCCACCAGGGCACTGGGACTCCATCAGCTCTCGACCTTTCACCTGGGGGATGCAGATCTCTCCTCCCCTCTGCCTGCAGGGCAGAGCTCCCAGTACCCCGGAAGAGTTACCTGGTACATGATGGAGGAAGGTGGCGGCTCGATGCATGGCTGCTGGTCAGGCAGAGGCAGCTCTTCCAGCAGGTCCACGTTGGACAGGGCATCCTCCAGGGTGACATGGGTGGTCATGGCTGAGCTTTCCTATTTCGCGCTGGGGGCAGGAAGAGAGAACAAGGGAAGTTCTGCAGCTGCCAGGCCTTTCTCTCAATATCACCAGGTCCAGGCTCCTCCTGGAGACTTGAGGGAGGGATGAACATGCACTGAGGCCACACTGGCTCCGCTTGCTTCCGGGCTCAGCCTGCACCTGATATTTGTGCAGTGCTTTTATATCTGCTCTCTCTGGGCTGAGCCTGACCAGAAGTCGCATGGCCAACATGGCAGGTGGCATTGCCCCTGAGGCTCAGGGAAGGTAGGGACACCCACACAACCACAGCAACCCAGGACAAAGGACCTCACAGGGTGCCTGATGCCAGAACATGGGCCGAGGCTGGCTGCCTGCCATTTGTTCTCCATGAGGACACCATCAGTTCCATTCTTAAATGATAGCACAGCACAATGTCCATGATTGTGACAGCCAAACTCTTCAAAATGACACCAGAACATAGGTTCTATGAGTTAATACAGCTGGGATGAAGAGTGCAGGTGCCACAAAATTAACCTTATTTACAACAATGGAAGAGCCACCATCTTCCTTGGCCTGGGTATGTGCTGGGAACTGCACCAAGAAAATCTGCCCTAAGTGGACCTCTTGTGTCTCAGGGGCTGTGGAGGGCATGGTTGCCATGATGACTTTGCAGGCAGTGAAGCTGAAGGGGTCTGAACAGCATGATTATCCAATTCGAGTTCACTGCTATTTTAAGAACTCAGCACCCTGCACACAGAATACTCATTCTTTTCCAAGCATATGTGAAATGTTGATAAAAAATCATTGTGGTTTAGGCTATCAAAGGCTCCTATAAGCTTCCCCAATATGAGTTCCCAGACGTGACATTCATTGATCATTGTGCTGCAGAATTAGAAATCAGTAATACAAATTATAGCTCCAAAAAAAAAAAAAACCCCTCCACACCTATGAAAATGTATAAAAACACTCTTCAAGGTTATTTCAGCAAAAGAGGACTTCAAAGAGAAACGATCAAATATTTAGAACTGGACGATAAGAGAGCTTGTGTAAATATTTTAAATAAACAGGAGAAAATAAGAAAGTGGAACTGAATTGCCCCTTAAAGATGGAAAGACTAAAAATCAATCCAAAAAATGAGAATGTGGGGACTGAGGATGACAAAAGCAGAAGTAAATGAAAACAAAAAGCAAAGCAAAACAGGACCACAGCAGACTAGGTGAACAAAAATGTAAGAACTGTTTGAAGATTAATAATTATCATCATTAGCCAACCCTTCATCACAAAAGGAGGTAAAGGAAATAGAAGCCTGTCCCCCCACGCCCAGGGAGGGTGACATTGATGGGGGAGGGGCCCAGCTCAGAAGGGCAGATCAGGGCCAGTGGTGAACTGCTCCTCTCACTTCACGGGGTTCTTACACCTTCCTGTGGCGCGTGCACCATGGCAACAGGAAACCACATGTAGCGAGGGCACAGGGGGCTCCGCAGGCGCCAGCCTGATGGGTGGTTTCAGGCCCTTCTCTGCACCTCTGCTTGCTCTTCTCTCTCTCCCCTGAATTCTAAGGGTGGCAGCCAGTTAGTTCTACAGCCAAACCAGTTAGTTCTACAGTTCTACCAACCCACCAAAGAGATCACCCTCTTTCTTACACTCAGTCCATTTTGCTAAAGGGGTTAATGATTTTGTAAGCCATGATGAACTGCCCTTCCTCCCCCACTTCCCCACTCTGACTCCTACCTGTAAGGTTTGTCACTTCTTCACTTGATCTTAGCCAAAAGGCTGAGAAGCGATTCTGTCACTTCTTTTACTATCACCTGGCTTTCTGGTGGGCTTGGGGACACACCACAACTCATTTACAAGAATAATGCGCAAATCATACCCTTGCACTTCCTTAAAGAGAATCAGTAGGCGAACAACATACAAAGCCAGTAAATTAGGAGTTTTTATGAATGTTAATGCAATATTTCTTTTCTCCTTATAAATAAATACAGCATCTCTATTGGATTTCTGTGTTTGTAGATCAGTCACTGCCTCAGGGAGAGGGAAATCAGACATTTTTTTAACTCATGTGAAGGAAGTCACTGCCAAGTCCACATCAATAAGAAAGAGGAAAAAAAAAACATTCTGGAAATAGGTATACATGAAAAGAAGCCCGTTTCTGGCTCAAGTGTCCTGCTTGTAACTCAAACTTCCAAATGATAATAATTCTCTATATTCCATCCATGACCATGTGATCATTTAGTCACTTTGGAAGAGACATGAATAAAACATTTAAAAGTAAACAGTGTTCTGGGAGCAGCGTTCTTGAGACTCGGCAGCAACCTCATTCATTTAAACTCAGCATCAGACAAACTGATGCTCAGTGGCCAGGCTCCTCTGAGAGAAGAAGCAGCACACTAGGCTTACATCATAGTCTTCTGGGGAGGGTGTCAGGGACCCCTGGCTGGATGACTGCAGCGTCTGAGCAAAGGGGGTGGGCCCCACAGATACAAAATCTTTAGGGAAGCAGTCAACTACCCACACCCTGTTCTCTGCACACGAATGACGGGCATGGTCCTTTTTTCCCTTTGACATCCTAGGAGGAAAATGAACAAGGAAGATATTTTTCCTGACAAGGGCAGTAGGCTGGGTACAGTGGGTAAGCATGAGCTTTGGGTTCAAACCCACCCTCTGCCATGACTAGCTATTGAAGCAGAAGCATGTCACTGAACCAGCGCCTTGGCCTCAGTTTCCTTATCTCAAAAAGGCTGATAATTAACAGCCCTCCCTAGGTGTTCTATCCTGAGGCTTACATAACAGCAAGGCACATGGAATGCTTAGCACTGCAGCTGGCAGCAAATGAGCATTCTGGAAATGTTGGCTAGCCTGGAGGCCTCTTTTTAATAGAGTGAATGAAACATAGCACAGTCCTGCAGAAAAGGAAGGCATTCGACCGATGCCCTCCTTCCTCCACGCTCTAGATGTTCCATATTGATTTGCTCAGTCACAAGAACCCGCAAGTTCAAGAGGGCGGGAGTTAGTTTTGCTGTTTTTCAGAGGAGGACGTGGTGTCCCTGAGAAGTGAAACTGTCATTCACGGGCCCATGGCCAGCCGGGGTTGAGTGAGGGAGAAGCAGAGACCATGACCCCCAGTTCTGTGCCCTTTGCTCTAGACCACGCCTACTTCTGTACCTTTTGAAAGGTACAAGCACTTGACTTGTTCTTTTTCCTCCACTTGGCTGCCTTTCCTTCCTCAGGAAGAACGAGGCTGTGCCAAGCACAAAGATGAGGTAACTGTCACCTTCAGGTGTCAGGAATGTCAAGAGACCAGGAAATATGGTTGCTGTCTGTGAGTGTCTTTGGCTAGACAGCAACTCATTTTTTTTTAAATTTTATATATATATATATATACATAATATATATATACACTTATCTGTATATTTATCTATACAAATGAAATACTATAAGTAAATATGTAAATGAACATAGAAATATATGTGATGTGCAAATAAGTATATATAAATATATACATAAATTAAAAGGATACTGTCTCCATTAAATACATTTTTGAAAGATTTATTATTTTATTTATGCATGTAAGAACTAAGGTAAATGCCAGAGGTGCAGGGGTGGGCTAAGAGGATTGACCAGAGACAGAACGGGGAGCAGACAGGAAGATCTACTGAAATAGACTGCTGAGGGGAGCAGAGGGCGAGACAGGAGAGAGGTCTGCGCCATGTGGGTCAGCTCCCTGGCCTGATCAAACTCATGACCCAGTGGCTGCCTATAGCTTGATAGTGCTGAGACTTTAACCCCTGCACCACCAGGGGGGCCCTAAACACATTTGGTTTTTTAGCAGCATTTCACTAACAAGGCAAGGCCCAGAGAAGGAATTTGGAGGATACCCCGCCTTTCTCTTAGGGGTGTTCGCTGGGCATGCTAGGAGGCTGTGTGGGGACAGAAGTTTGCTGAGACAGGCTGTGGCTCCATAGAGTCCTTTTTCCACATCTCCCAGGGGTAGGGCCAAGCAGGGACACAGTCACGCGTGCCCCCAAATGGAGCATGTAGCTTATTTTGAGCAGGTGGGGAAGAGGTGGCCTGGTTTTACAGAAATGTTTTACATATCCAAGCCCACCAGTGCCACCAGGAGCTACCGTTAGAAAACTCTTTGTACCAATTGGTAAACTAGAGCCACAAGTGAGAAGGGGCCTGAAAGCTGAGAGCAGTGAGCCCCAGATGTCACCTGGATAGAAGAGAGCTCTAGAGGAGGAGCGTCGACACAGGACACTCCTGTGCGGTTCCCCCAATATCACCTATACCATACGGGCCAACAAACACTTGCCAGAAAGCTCCAGAGCTGAAGACCTAAAGAAATAGTTACCTCCTTAGGAAGCATTTCTGCCCACCCCACCCAACTGAATCCACCCTCTCCTTTGGTCCTCAGTGTGCCCAGGATGGCCCATCTTTCATGGCACCGATGATACTTCATTACATGGTTTACCTTGTCTTCTCTCCTGCCCTAAATGATAAACTCCAAACATGCAGGAAATATGTCTACTTCACGCCAACTCTTGCACAGAGCTGAGCACATGTTTGTATCTAAATAAAGATTTGTTTGATGAATGGAAGATCCATTAGAACATGGGGTGTGGGTAGCATCCAACATCATCTCACCTCCACCGCTGCTGTGTTCTCCAGCTTTACAATGCTGACCTGGCCCCACCATCCTGTGCACGACACTGAAGATGTCACCGTCTCAGTACCACTTTCCTTGTCTTTGACAGGAGGAATAAAGCTAGTTCCCACCTCAGACTTTGAAAACAAAATGATCCCTGTAAAGTGCTCAAAGTTAGTTACCCAACAAAACCTAGTCCAGCAACTTAGAAAAGGATTAAAAACCCTGGCCAAGTGAGAGTCATCCCAGGAATGTCACATAGTTTAACATTAACATCTGAAAACCTAATGATGTGAGAAGCTACAATGAGGAAAGCAGAGGAAAGGACAAAAACCACACCATACATGCAGAAAAACATCTGACAAAAACTCATCCTTTT